GGTGTTGTTATCGTGTTTAGGAGGGCATGGGGACGGAGGCTGGGTGTGTAGAGCTGTAGCAGGTGTTGTGTGTATATGTGTTTTTTCTTTTATCCTCACCGATGTTTACCCCGTCGCTGTCGGGGCCCCCCGTTCCCTCCCTGGGCGGACAGGTGACTCCCGAGGGGCGCTATGTGCCACCGCCGCCCTCGAACAGCAAGGCGTCGTACGCCACCATGGTGTTCGTACGGGCCGACATTGTGAAGAACGCCGGGTCGTCGCTCGGTCGCGCGGTGACGATAGCAACGCGGTATGCTGCCGTACGCCGCCAGACTGCCCCTGCACCGGGGGAACGGGAGCTGCAGGTATACAATACAAGCAAGGGGAATGTGACACGTCGGCGTGTGTGTATGCGTGTATGTATGTCACGGGGGGTAGAGGTAGGGGAAGAAGGGAGTCCTGCGGGAAACCTCTGCGGGTTGAGGATGTTGGAGGTTGAGTGCAGGTGTGTTTGCAACGTTGCTGCACGTGTGGTGGTTTCGCAAATCCCGTACACTCTACCCCTTTTCCCTTTCGATTGTCCTGACGATTTTACATTTTGGGTCGTTATATAGTATGTCCACACATATACGACGGGGAACAATATAATGTATATTTTCAGTACATTGTATACATATGTATACGCTTTAGGGTTTACCTTTGTATACATATGTATACGCTTAACCTTTGTATACATATGTATACGCTTTAGGGTATACCTTTACTTCCTATGGTATGTAAGAACTTTGGCGTCCAGCTCGCGCCGAGACTCGAACTCGGGTTGGTGGATTCAAAGTCCACAGTGATGACCACTACACCACGCGAGCAACTCCTTGTATAAATTGCAGTAATAGTACTAATAGTCTCGGGCGTTTGCATGTGCATCCCCTCCTTAATCAGGTTTTGGACTATCAGAATTGCTCGGCCACCTTGCTTCCCCTGATCGCGTCGTCGTACGCGCTGTACTTCATGGGGGAGTCCATGATGGCCATGTACCGCCAGTTTGAGAGGGACCGCGACCGCGGGGAGTTTGGGGCGCTGCCGGAGCTGCATGCCCTGTCATCCGGACTTAAGGTGTGGGGTGGGTGGCTGGATGTGTGGGTGGGTGGGCGGGTGTTGGCCCTCGAGCTGCACGTGGATAGCTGCCATGTCTCGAGTGCTGTTGTCGGGACGCCAGTGGCGTACATATGGCTTGTCAATTAAGTCTTGTCTGTCTTGCCAATCTGCATTACGTGTGTATGTCTGTATGCCTGTATGTCTGTATGTGGTTATATATTTTATGACATTTGTGTATGTATGATTACAGGCCCTGTGCACTTGGATTACTGCGGATGGCATTGAGGAGTGTCGTCGTACTTGTGGAGGCCACGGATACAGCAAACTGTCGGGGCTACCGACCCTGTTTCAAAACTACGTGCAGGTAAGCGGCCGGCGAGGGGGAAAGGGGTGGAGGATACAGCGGGGCGGACGGGGTGGGGAGGGAAATCACCCGCATCAGGGTTTCAGGAGCGGTCGCAATCCACAATCCCCTCTGCTCCACTCTATCTCTGTCTTCTGTGCGCTTCCCTCTCCCCAGCCCACCTTGCCGGTGGACTTCGCATATCTTTTTTCCCCACCCCACCAGCCTGAAGGCTAATCCCCCAGGTCAGCCTTTCCAGCCCAGATGAATGGAACTCCTCCGTCTTCTCCCGGGCTGTTCCCCTGTGGGGGGTTGCGGGGAAGTAAAAACACAGTGGCTGACCCATTTGGTTGCACGTGGCCCGGGGGTCTGCGGGTTACTGCTTCTCCCCTGGAACTGCCCCACTTGTGGATCCGCCCCACAGCGCTGTGCTGCTCGCCCTTCCCTCCACCGCAGCGCTGTGCTGCTCTTGATCGCGCCATCTTCCTCTTTCTGATGGACATTTCCCTTCCCTTGTCTTACATCCTTTGCTTCCCTTAAAAAGAATGTGACGTGGGAGGGCGACAACAACGTGTTGTGTCTCCAGACGGCGAGGTACCTCCTCAAGGTGGGGGGATGGGGGGGATGCTCGTTAGGGAAGGGGGAAAAGGGGGAAGGCGGGAAGTGAAGGGAGTGGAATGACCGGGACGTGGGACGTGAGCGTGACCGGTGTGCTGTAGGGGAGGTGAGATGAGGCGCCGAAACCAAACCAGGGATGGAACAACTCTCCCTTTGGCTTCCACACTGCTTATGCGTGGCGCTAACCCTTAGTGCTTTTTGCATTTGCCTTTTGCCATATCGGCATGTCATATTTGAACTTTGCCAGTTGAAATTATGGACTAAAACCAAGCTATGGACTTACGCATAGTGAACCGCCCTCCCGTACATTCGTATAATTCATACGAATGTACGGGAGGGCGGTTCACTTATCAGCTTTGGCAGTACTGACATGCATACATATTCAACACGTCCCTCCTTTCAGGACGCGAAGGGCCCTGTGGGAAGAGAGCTTCTGACTTACTGGCGATTTACCTTTCGGAAACGCACGCAAACCCACTTCGCCCCTTCTTTACTACCCGTCACCGCCCGCATACTAAGTACGTACATACATACGCACGTACAGGCGCTGGCGGGTGTCCACAAGGGCACGTCGGCCTCTGGCAGCGCCTCCTACCTGAACGAGGTGGCGCGGGAGCTGGCCCCGGCCAGCCGCTGTACCGCCGCATGTGACGAGTGCTGGCTGAGTCCGGAGGTGGCGGCAGGTGCGTTGAGACACGCGGCGGCGCGCAGCGTCGCGGCGGCGGCGGCGACGTTGACTTCGGCGACCGGTGGCAAGCTGGTGTTTGAGGGTCGGCCCTGGAACGAGAACACGGTGGACTCCATCCGGTGCGGAGTGGGAAGGGTAGTGGGTAGTGGGTAGTTGGTCGCAGTGGGTGGATGCGGCTCAAAGGCGGGAGGAAAGGGTGCCCGTCCTCCCACACGTGCATGTCGGCCTTTGCTCGTGTGCACGTCTTGTGTCTCATCACACGTTGTGTGTCCTCCATCGTGCGGAACTCTTTGTGTCGTCTCCTTGTGCATCAAGCATGATCGTGTTTGTATCTGTTCGTGTGAAGTTGTTGTGTGTTTTCACGTCCCACTATGTTTTGCGACCACCATGACATGGTTTCCCAGTGGTGTATTTCCCCCCGGCCCCCCCCCACCACTCACCTGCGCCTCACCCCACTAGCTTGTTGGCCGCACTTTCGTGGTTGAGTCCTTGCTACTGATTTTAGTGCGGCGGCTTTTACCGGCCCTGCGCTTCTAATCCCGACACCCCACCACGCAACTTGCACCCACCATTGCTTGCCTGCATATTACACTGCACTACCGCCCACCCATAACCCCCACCCACAGGGCAGCTAAGGCGCACTGCACCTTCATCCTGCACCAGACCTTCATCAAGAGCATCGAACAACTGGAGGAAGCTGCCGCCTCCACCTCCGCGACCACTCCGGGCCAGGCCGTGGGTTCCTCAACTGCTGCGGTGCTAAGGCAGTTAGCGGCGCTGTTCGCCCTGGAGCAGTTGGAGCGGGAGGGCGGTGTGGCGGCATTGCTGGAGGACGGCTACCTGAGCGGTGAGAGGGGGCCTCGTTTCGGATTGGGAGCCGGGGAGAGAAGGGTGATGAAGGGGTTATTCTTTGGTCCGGGTGTGCCATGGTCGGGTGTGGAGTGGGGGGTGCAGTGCTCTTGCCCTTGACGAGGATGCTTTCTGGGTGCAGTCCTGACCTTGCCCGTGACCTGGACCTTGGGCCCCCTCACTCTATCACCGGTTTTGCATTGCGATGCAAAGTATTGCTTCTATTGCAAATGTACGCGCGACATGTATCTTCCCGTATATATTTTGTCTCCATGCCTCGTCCGCTCACATCCTTATGATTACATGTACATTTATATATTCTGGCGCTATCAACATGCGCCTTCTTGCTCCCACCACCAATGTCGTCTGCCTCCCTACCCCCTCCCCGCCTCCCCGGGCCCACAACTCCCACACAGCCGCCCAGGCGGCCTCGCTTCGGCGACGTCACCGGCTGCTGCTGACCGCCCTGCGGCCCAACGCGGTGGCGCTGGTGGACGCATTCGCCTTCCCCGACTATCTGCTCAACTCCGCTCTGGGACGGGCCGATGGAGACGTGTACCGAGGTCTGCTGGACATGGCCCGTGGGTCGCCGCTGAACGCCACTCAGGAGGGCCCCGCGTGGCAGGAGGTGCTCAGGCCGGTGCTAGCGGCTCGGAGCCGACTGTGAAGTGGGGAACTTAGTGGGGCTGAGGTTGGGACTGACATTATGTGCTGGGACCGTGTGTGCGGGAAGGACGAGGAGATGGTGGGGAAGGCGTGGAAGTGGCGGAGGCGGAGGACGGAGCGGGGCCCCGCAGATGCAACGAACTTACGAGTGCCCGCCAAACGACGTCGATGAAAATACAACAATACGTTTTGGATTTTCCACTTCTTAAGGATGCACATAAGCGCTTCATTTCGTTTTCCCTTGTCATGCATAGCAACAGCAGCAGAAGCAGCAGGAACGGCAACAGCAGCAGAAGCAGCGGCAGCAGCAAGTTGTGATGCCATCGCATTATGCATGCACACACAGCCAACACGAACACACACCTGCACATTTCCATTTGACATCTCTCTGCTTGGCCGTTAATAACAACTTTTTATGGGGAAGCACATCCGTGTACGACATATGGGGTTACCGGTCTTGCCTGTCGAGGGTGGGAAGTATAGGGGGCTGGGAAGGGGACCTCGGCCACAGAAATTCCACAAGTGCTATGGAGGGAAATGAGATGGGAATGTTCGTGCATGAAGTACGGCATCCAGAAGTCAAGTCTTTGCTCGTACAGAAGTCCGCCGGCTACAAATATCGGACGAATGCTGCCCAAGGTGCATAGCATTGTCACTTAAACTTATGTTTGTTGTGTTCTTAGGATCGCCCAATATATACTTGCTTTCTGCTATCAAAAAGCTTTCACGAGACGGTTTTCGGGCTTCCTGCCTCATGACCTACTTTTGGTCGACTCTTGCTTGTCCAGATGCGTTAGGGCACATTGCATGTATTGAAGGTCGAGCTTTCGGATGTCGGCTTGCTGCGAGGCAAGAGGAGGAATGAGTCACCAGCCGGCGAGTCTCACGGGAAGCCCTGACCATTGAAACATCCGTGAAATTAAGGTAAGAGTTTGTAGGATTTCCCTGAGACCTACTGCGGCCGCAAGGTTCCAAGACCCGTAGTTGCACCCCAGTTGTGCGATTGCAATTGAAGGTATAAAGGTTAAATACAGCAACCTGAATGGGATCATGCGGCACCCGATTTTGCAAAGCCGCTGCAGCCGGCCACAGCGCCTGCCGATTGCCATGGTGGCCACGGCCACCGTCGCCGCCGCCACCGACGCCGCCACCGTCACCGCCATCCGGCGACGCCGACGCCGCCACCACTGCCGCCACCCGCACCCACACCCGCTGCGGCCGCCACGACTGCCACCCGCCGATGCCGCCACCACTGACGCCCACACCCGCAGCCGCTGACGCCACCACCGCCACCACATCCTTCGTTATGACTAGATCCGAAAAGTTAATGTGGGAGTTCCGCCCTAAACCCTAAAACCCAAATTATTTAGCAGCCACACCACCAAGCTGGGACGAAGGGAGACCAGGAAGGGGAGTGGAGCTCAACCGAATGCGTCCCTTACCCTTTATGGACTCAGGTTAATGTCCAGCCGTACAAACTCATTCCTTGGGCCAGGGTTGTGAAAGTCTACATCCAGGCGTTTCCCAGACCACCTCCACAGCTGCTTCAGGCCTGCGGGCCAGCACCTCCACTGCCGCTACAAGCTCCTTCAGGGGATGAGTGCCGGTGAGTGGCGTGAGGGGCGTGAGAGAAGATGGTTGGAGGTTGGGAAGTTGCAGTTTCGGGAGGTTGGAGAATAACGGCAACAAACACATTGCTAACCTATCATTAGAGACCCACCTCGACCCCAAAAAGTACAGAAATACACATGTTGTACTTCTTTCCCCTTTATTTCCTCTGACACTTCTCCCTGTGTAGCACTCACCACTTCCTCAGCCCTGGGATGCTCCCTCGGCCCTCATGTCCCCCTGCCCCCCTCCCCCCTCGTGTGTGGTTCGTCTTTCCCCCCGTTCCCACAGCAGGTCCTCACCTGGCTGGCTGTGTCACCAGGCGGGGGGGGGACTCTGACACATGCTTGCTGTGTGTGTGGGTGCTGTGGGAGGCAGGGTCGGTGCTGGGAGAGGGCCCCGAGCTGGGGGCCTTTGAAATCAGGTGAGGTAGGTGGAGGTGTGTGGGGGGGAGATGGGGGGAAACATGTCTGTTTTTTGATGTGTCTGTGCCCCTGTAATCTTGTACCTTTGTCGGTGTGATAGGTTATCAAGGTGTTTGTTGGTGTTATTCTCCAATCAACCTGCACCTCCCAAAACTGCAACTTCCCAACCTCCAACCTCCAACCATCTTCTCTCACACACCCCCACACCACTCCACCCTATGTGCTGCCACAGGGACCTCGCCGCGACAGGCACTCATCCCCTGGAGGAGCTTGTAGTGGCAGTGGAGGTGCTGGCCAGCCGGGCTGATGCAGCTGTGGAGGTGGTCTGGGAAACACTCCAGTCCCTGTTGAGCAGTGACCCATGGGTCAGGGAGGCGCCTGAGGTACGGAGACACACATCTGATCCTCCCGGAGGTTTTCGGCTGGATGTAGACTCTCACAACCCTGTCCCAAGGAATGAGTTTGCACGGCTGGACATTAACCTGAGTCCATAAAGGGTAAGGGATGCATTCGGTGTGAGCTCCACTCCACTCCCCTTCCCTCCACTCCACTCCCCTTCCCGGTCTCCCTTCGTCCCAGCTTGGTGGTGTGGCTACTAAATAATTTGGGTTTTAGGGTTTAGGGCGGAACTCCCACATTAACATATTCGGATCTAGTCATAACGAAGGATGTGTTGGCGGTGGTGGCGTCAGTGACAGCGTTGGCAGCTGTGGCTGCGGGTGCAGGTGGCGGTGGCGGCGGCGGCGGTGGGTGCGGGTGGCGGTGGCGGTGGCTGCGGGTGCAGGTGGCAGTGGTGGCGGCGGCGGTGGGTGCAGGTGGCAGTGGTGGCAGCGGCGGTGGGTGCGGGTGGCGGTGGCGGTGGCTGCGGGTGCAGGTGGCAGTGGTGGCGGCGGCGGTGGGTGCGGGTGGCGGTGGCGGTGGCAGTGGGTGCGGGTGGCGGTGGCGGTGGCGGTGGTGGCGGCTGCAGGTGTGGGTAGCGGCGGTGATGGCGATGGCGGTGGCGGCGGCTGTGGCGGCTGCAGCGGCTGCGGGTGGCAACAGCTGCAGCTCATGCATAAACATATATTCCCATCTCGTCTCCCTTCATAGTCCCATGGAGTGGGCCCTACTGCAGCTTATTCAAATCTCTACCCTGCAAGACGTGCTGTACACACAATACACACCCAGGCTATGGTGCTGGTCGGTTTCCTCTTCATCAGCTCTCAGTGGCTGCAGGGGTACATATGCCAGGGGTGGCAGCCCCCGGCGCCCTCAGCCTCATACACACAGCTGGAATCAGTTAGAAGCCAAACTTGTTCGAATAAGGCAGTTCTGGAGCCGTTGGGTTTGCCTGAACCGTACAACCTCGTGAAGCTTGTAATTGTACATCTATTCATCCAGTTAGAAGCTTACAAAGCTAATCAAACCGGGCTGCAGCTTCTGACACCAAGTCCGATTGCGGTCTACAGAATGTGGCTGGTATATGTGTGTGTGTATTTCACATAGATATTCACATCACCCGCATGAGCCACAGATCAATACCAACACATCCAGACCACCATCACGACTGCCACGGGTCCCCCAGCAAAACACCGTCGTACAAACATATTCCGTACACATGTACCCAGTCACACGCTGTAGTTTTCCCAAGGCAGGCAGCTCATGAGGGCACTCATGTCCTGACAGTGCCGTACAGGGGTTTCTCCATCCGTACCTGATGAACATATCCCGTACATTTACATAGGTGTTTCCTTGCTCGCCTCGACACGCTCATGCATCGAAGGCGAGTCAGGTAGTGACTGCTGGGTAAGTGGCCGCGGGTTCAGCTATACCCCCTTGCTTCACACAATCAGGTAAAATCTGCTGTCGCGCTATCAACGCGATTAACTTGATCAGCTCTAATGCCAGAACCTGATGAGCAGCGGACACACAGCACTCATAGTTTTTACAGTTGTGTCCGGCCGGCTCAGGCGCAACGCCCTATACAAGTTTAAAGCTCAGCAGAAATGGAGGGACGTCCGTAAAAGCTGGGGGGCCATCGACGGCCATCTACTTACAGTCATTATTGCGGCGCCGAGTGAGGATGTGGAGATTCTCTCCTGCTCGCCTGGGCTCATGTGGTATCACGCAATATTGTTATGTCATGACTTCAGGAAAGCATCTATGGGCGGATGCAGATCCCGTTATAAGCCCGGGATACTATAGCTCAGCCCTATGGCTAAGCGCGACCACACAGCAGTCGGCAGTCAGTTCTCAGTAGTCCAAGGACGAATGGAACTTTGGCAGCAATTTAGAGCGGTTTGGACATCATGGCATGTCATCAACGGCTAACCAAAATGTGCGCGCGGCCCGTCGGTCCGCAACTAACAAAAGAGCTGGGCAAAATATTAAGGGACAGGATTCATACTCGGATACCTCAAGACACCATTTAAAAAATTCTTGGCAAAGCAGCGCAGGACTGAAAATTTATTTCACAAGAAAATGTCAGGAAGAGGTAAGTTTGCTGGGCTGCTGCGTCGCAGCGTGCGTGTGAGCAGCAGCTGCTGTATTGGAATGTTGCTTCGCACTATTTGTTTACAGCCGCTTCAATCCGCACATTCGGCACTGTGTTGCTGCAGCTAGATAGTTCGCTCTTAATTTGTTGTTGCTGTGATGACCAGCCGGTCAGTTTACCGGCAGTGCGCCTTAACCCCTTGGCCCTAACCCTAGCTTACCCTAAAAAAGTGCACCAATGGCCACGATTTTATGTAGGTCGTGGGAGCAGCGGCGGCTATGGTCCCAGCAGCGGAAGCGGCGGCTATGGTGGTGGTGGCCGCGGCCGCGGCGGCGGCAGCGGCGGCGGCGGCGGTTATGGTGGTGGCCCAAGCGGCAGCCGGGACTATGAGGGCGGCCGCTTCTACGGCGGTGGCGGCGGTGGCAGGGGTAGCGGTGGTGGTGGGCGAGGTGGTGGAGGTAAGATCTATCTTGAATACTGACCTGTGTCTCTGCGTTGATTCCCAACCAGCTACACATTTGCAGGCTTTCACCCGCTATTACTACTGCGGCTGCAGGTCAGCAGGTTGCTGCACTTTCGTCTTCGGAAGTGGCGAGCCGCCTCGGAGGAATCTTCCGTGGACTCCGCATGACGGCGGCTGGCGCTAAGGTCGGAAAGAACCGCCTGCAGTACTACTTATAATAGTGTATGTGATCCAAACAGTTGATGGCCATCATGGCCTTATCATTAGATAGTATCCATGTGATAGGTTATGTTGTCCATCGCTCCGAATGCATGTCAGATGCGTACATACATAATGGACACATATGTGTGTGTGTGTGTAAAACTATGTGTGTGTGTAAAACTACCCATACGAGCCGAAGGCTTAAGGGCAATAATAATGGACATAATGGACACATATGTATACGTAGTGTATACGCAAGCACACATACAGTACATCCACATAAACGTGCTCTCATGCATGCGAGCATCATTTCTTGCTCTGTCTGGTGATGTGTGCCCGTGTCATCAGATTATGTGGTCATTCGTTATCCACTGCGTACCTATAGGTATTTATTAGCTAATACATAAATCAATAAGTAACCTAATAAATTCCCTAATAAGTAAATAAATAGGTAAGACCTAACGCCGACAATTTCTGCGAAACCAAACCTGACGGCTCGTCGTCCGGACGAGGGGAGGAACCCTCCCGGGAGGCCCCTCATTCGCTGCCACATATAATAGCGGTATCGAGACAATTTGTCCTATCCACTAAGGATCAATTCTTTTTGATTTTTACTCCTGCACCGTTAGCACCGTTTTAACACCACCACCACCACCACCACACATATGCACATACATACATACATACATACATACATACATACATACATATCAACTTGCGAGCTGACCAGGAACTAAGTTGATGCGCCGTTGATCCGCTAGATTTGGTTTGATGCTGGTGGTGAGTTGCCGAACCCAACGAATACATTCTGAAGTCGGATGGGGTGACGGATTAGGGTGCCCCTCTAGCAGGGGAGAGCAGGGACTGCCCCGGGAAAGGGGGCCGCTGGCGAAGTTAACCACCCTGTAACAACATACATACAGGTGGCACATATGGAAGCGGGTGATAAGCCAGCGTATGCGACAAAGCCCTTGCACCGCGGTACGGCGGGTACGGCGGTGCAGATCTTGGCCAACTATTTCGCGTTACAACGCCTCAAGCACTTTCCTGAAGCGGTAAGATTAATGAGATTGTAGTACACTTACATACATACATACATACATACATACATACGTTGCATTTTGTATCTTAATTATCTTCTATGCTTGCTGCGCGCCTTGCTTGACAACGCGTAGTGGAGCTAGCTTTAATTTTCATAAAGAGAATGGATATTACTAGCTCCTTCCTGTTGATGTCGCACGATTGTGTGTGTGTGTGTGCGTGTGTGTGTGTGTGTGTGCTGCTGCCGCCTCCTGCTGTTCTTAATAATGCATTATTCTTTCTTACGAACGCCGCGCCGTTGCAGGCTGTTCAACTTCTACGGGCCCAGGCTTGCTCTTGTATTAAAATAATAAATAAACCATGTTCCCGCCCTCGCTGGAAAAAACCGCACGCTGCATGCAGGCTGATCATTACGATGTAACCTTCAAGTCTGCTTCTCATGGTAGGTGTGTGCTTGCATTACGTACCTTGCTGGGCCTGACTTTGGACAGGGTCTGCAGGGTCTGCTGCCCAGCTGCCCCAACGAACAAGACCGCCGAAGACTTCCCCCCCACACACACAGGGAAAAGGGGCGTGAGGGGCGTGAGGGTCCACTGTCCCATCTGCTGCTGCACACACAGCCTGAACCGCCTTAGACCCTGTAAGGGTATGGTACACACAGCGGTAGGTATACAGAGGGGAAAAAGAAGAGGCCCACAGCCTCAAACGCTTCGCCAGGAGACCGTCAGCAGCCAGCAGCCAGCAGCCAGCAGCCAGCATTGAAAGACGCTCTCGCCGAGCTGGCCCTTCCCCCTCAAACCCTGCTGCAGTTCCCCCGTGTACGTACATACATACATACATACATACATAATGCGCATGGCTGCTCTTCGGTTATTTGGTCTATTATGTCTGTACGTATGTACGTATGTATGTTCTCAGAGCGAGAAAAATATATATAGCCGACAGCAGACATACATTTAACTGATTATATAGATTTCCCTTGAGACGCAAACCGCACGAAAGAGCTCTCTTTTGATAATAACTACTTGTTTTAGTTACGAATGAATTCATTGTTGTCCTTTGCTGATTTCCTAATATAAAATATTTTTTCCACATTATATTACATTATAATACATAGCGTGACGAGCACCCTACATACGCGCGTATGAATGCATACGTGCTTATTACCTAGCTGGCATGCGCAGCAGTACACATGATAGTGGCACCCGTCACGCTCCTAAGCAAACAAAACCAAGCAAGTATCGCATTCCTGTACTATATACCACGTACTGCTGCTATGCATGCATATGTAGGCGCCGCCAGCCCCCGCATCCCGCAGCGGCGATCAGCAGCAGCACCGTCACCAGCTGGTCCGGTTGAGGCCGCTGCAGGTACTACAGCTGCTGTAGCGACCACATCCTCCGCTGCAGCCGCCGGCCATGCTGATGAGGCCAACAGGGAGGATCTGCCGCCACGCCTGGCGTTCCGGATCATGAGCCAGCTGGCGAGAGACGAACGTTGGCCTGCAGCAGCTTGGGCATTTGACGGCAGGAAGAATCTGTTTGTGCCGGAGGAGGTGCGGCGGAAGTGACACGTACATACATTTCTCTTGGTTTAATTATTGTTATAAATATATTTCATTAAATTATTCCATTTGAATTTTTTTCAATCTGGAAATATAATTCACAACGTGCGTGCGCGGTTGTTGATGCAAATATAATAACTATTTCCAACGCATGCACCTGCTGCTGCTGTACTGCTGCTGTACTGCTGCTGTACTGCTGATGCATGCAGGCATTCGGGCAGCTGCTTCCGCCGCCGGGAGAACTGCTCGAGTTCAGGGTCGAGCTAAGTCCGGAACAAGCTGCAGGAGGAGGGCGCGTGAAGTCTAAAATCTTCACGGTGAGTCGCGGTCACTTTATGTGATGGTTCCAAGCTTGCTTGGCTGGGGCCATGGGGTCATGTGTAGACGACACCGCGGTGATAATAACATTGCAAAGCAAGCTAGCAGCAACCTGGCGCATGTAAGCATATACATACGCTGTACATGTACCTCGTTTTTGCTTTTATAATACGTTGCATATAAAATATTTTCATTAAACACGTACATATACGTTATGAGCTGTGCGTGGGCGTGGGCGTCTGCGTCACTCGATGTTTATTACATTACGCATGAAGTTCGCGGGCATCTGCTGCTGAAATATAAATGCGGAGATTGTTATATCACGACTTTTTCGGAAAAGAACCGATCGGTTGATACAGATCCCGTAACAAGCCCAGGATGCTACAAAGATGCATGCCCTATGGCAGCCTGGGTGGAAAGCTACGGACCAGTAGCTGACCCTCCCTTAGCAACTGGTACCTGCATAAATACAGCTTACATTTTTAATTAATGAATAAAAATGACATTTTATTATTAATGAATAAATACGACAATACATACGACGTACAACCCAGGTCCTCGTCAAATATGCCGCCACAGTGGAGCTCAGCACACTGCAGGGGTACCTGCGAGGCGAGGTGCTGGCAGCTCCTCGAGACGCCATGCAGGTGCGTGCTGTTGCTGCTGCTGCTACTGCTGCTGCTACTGCTGCTGCTACTGCTGCTGCTGTTGCTGTTGCTACTGCTGCTGGTGGTGCTGGTGCTGGTGCTGGTGCTGGTGCTGGTGCTTGTATGGCCATCTTTAGCTCCTATTCATTCGCTATCATTTTACAAGCTACAAGTTACCAATTCCGCACAAGTTCGGGGTGTCCGTAAAAGCTGGGCAACGTGCCGGGTCTTCCAGGCTTCCGAGAGGAACCTGGCTCGTGCCAGGGGTGGGGCCTCGGTCATAATCATGCACATGTGCCCTTGGGCCTTCGGCTCGTATGGGTAGTCTTACAGGTATGGGGTCACACACACCCAACCATGTAACACACACACACACGTCGCACAATGACGAATCAATGAGTATCACCCAACCTATTTACCCGCCTCCCATCTACCACAGCAATCTCATCATTTGCCGCCAGCAGGTGGTGGATGTGGTGCTTCGGCACCCCTTCAACCTCATGAAGGACTGCCTCATCTGCGGCCGCAGCATGATATTTACGCAAAACAAGCCAACGCCAATAAGCAAGAATATGGAGCTTATTAGTGGTGTGAAGCAGGCAAGCACCTGGGTAGCAGCGGAGGGGCAACAGAACGCGGGGCGGGGCGGAGGGGGGGGGCCTCCAGTGGTCGGGGAAGTGAAGGATGCATATGGGGGCGTGGACGCACGGCAGGTTGCATGGAGGAGTCAAGGCTCCCGAGCGCCTGGCTGGTGGGGGGCCCCGCCGAGGGATGGCGGGGCAGACTTGCCCTACATATCGCTCCGTCGGCGCGCCAGCGTTAGTGTAGTAGCTGGCCACCGCTGAAAAGGCCTCCCGAGATGCTGGTCAAGCGCATCGCACGTATTTATAGTTGATTATGTGTACCGTAGTGTGTATCAGCTATTACGATTAGCCTCTGCTGCAACTGTTTCGTTACTTACCCCAACATACCAGGACACGGCACATATGATCTCTAGACAATGATAAAAAGTAAACAAAACCGTAAGTACGAACGAACCTGGTAACTCAGCTCGTCACCTTTTATGCACACACGCATGCACGCGCGTACACACACGCACACGCACACATGCAGAGCTTCAAGGCGGTCGAGTCGGGGCTGGCGCTGAACCTGGACACAACTTTTGGCGCTTTCCTGGCCCCCGCGAGGCTGGGGGATCTCCTGGGCGAGGCGTGGAGGCGGGGCCCTCGGGAGTTCGTCGCCAGTGCCAAGGGCCTGATTGGAACCAAGGTACACTTGGAGCAGCTCAAGCTGCAGGGTGCTGCAAGGATGTGGAGGAAGTCCGCCGCCGTGCCGGCGAGGTCACTGGCGTCGACCGCTTCCAGGCCTAGGCTTGCCCAGGGCGAGATGACCGTCTTGCTGCATGCAGCCGCTGTTCCCCGGGTTGCTGTGCCCTGGGGCCGTTGTTGACATCATCAGCAACTTTGTTTGGGGAAGGACCTGGCGATTCTGATGGCCAGCGGGCGGGTAGTCTTGGACTATTCTGTTATCGGTTTAGGGCCTTAAGCAATGGCGACGGCTGCTGGAGCGACGTTCCTTGTGCCGGCCATTGCGGTGACAGGGGCCCAAATCCTGTGGCCCAAGGCTTGTGCAAGCTGTTGCACAAAATCCGGTTTGGGGCTGCTAGAAATTTTAGGGGTTATTGTTTTGAGGGGTAATTTTGCCCTGACACTCAACTTTTGAGGGAAGATATGTCCCCCCATGTTTCCTCCTCATTCACTACTTGTGATGGCCGTCGGAAGCTGGAGCCCCGCGGTTGAACAGTAGGAAACGGAACTGGGTGAATGTACTGCTGCTGCTTTCACTAACCTCGAAAACACACATGCGAAACCATGTCCAAACGTTCATCAATTGTTGTTCTAAAACACCCGAAAATTCCAAGTTCTTTTCGCGCCGCCTCCAATTGGCGTCTTGTTATCAATTGATTGCAAACCGTTACCGGTACTACGGTATATTATTTATTGATATACGGGATAATATTAGTGTATTATTGGTATATAGGTGTTGATATACGGTATAGTATTTATTGATGTAGTAAATTATGTTATTATTAATGCATGTATGCACATGCACACAGGTGGAGTTCAAGCTGCCCAACGGGGCCATGCGGCGAAAGGCCATCCGAGGGTTCTCTGAAGCGGGCGCGGATAACACCAAGTTTTGGAATGAGGAGAAGCAGAGGTGAGCGGCGTGGGCGGGCGGGTAGATGGCAGGCGTGGGTGGAAGGGTGGTGGGTGCCACGCGCGTGGTCACATCGCCGGATAAGGAGCATGATGGGCGATAATGATTATGTTAATGATAATAATAATAAATAATAATGGTGCGCATGCCGGGTTGTGTGATGTTTATATGTGTATATACATATAAACATATGTAGTGGGACCAAGGAAGGAAATGATGAGCCAACCACACCAGTCGAGGTACAACATACGCTTCAAGAATTTTTATCCGAGCGGTAGTCATTTTCCCAGCCCGAGAATAGAGGCGGCTAAAATAGAAGTATTCTTGTGTACACGATGTAAGAGAACGTATACATATACATGTGTATACTCTTTAAGAGAACGTATATATATACTCTTTAAGAGAACGTATATATATATACTCTTTAAGAGAACGTATATATATATATATACTCTTTTTACATCGTGTACACAAGAATACTTCTATTTTAGCCGCCTCTATTCTCGGGCTGGGCGCCGCGCCGGACGAAAATGACTACCGCCCGGGTAAAAATTCTTGAAGCGTATGTTGTACCTCGACTGGTGTGGTTGGCTCATCATTTCCTTCCTTGGTCCCACTATGTTCATTCATTCATTCATTCATTCATTCATTCGTTCATTCATTCATTCATTCGTTCGTTCATTCGTTCGTTCGTTCGTTCGTTCATTCGTTCATTCGTTCATTCGTTCATTCGTTCATTCGTTCATTCATTCATTCATTCATTCGTTCGTTCATTCGTTCATTCGTTCGTTCGTTCATTCGTTCATTCATTCATTCATTCATTCATTCATTCATTCATTCGTTCGTTCGTTCGTTCATTCGTTCGTTCGTTCGTTCATTCGTTCGTTCATTCGTTCATTCGTTCGTTCGTTCATTCGTTCATTCGTTCATTCGTTCATTCGTTCATTCATTCATTCATTCATTCGTTCGTTCGTTCGTTCGTTCGTTCATTCGTTCGTTCATTCGTTCATTCGTTCGTTCATTCGTTCATTCATTCATTCATTCATTCGTTCGTTCGTTCATTCGTTCGTTCGTTCGTTCGTTCGTTCATTCGTTCATTCGTTCATTCATTCATTCATTCATTCGTTCATTCGTTCATTCGTTCATTCGTTCATTCGTTCATTCGTTCATTCGTTCATTCGTTCATTCGTTCATTCGTTCGTTCATTCATTCACTCATTCATTCATTCATTCATTCATCCGATGGTTATCATTCTTTCTGCCCAAGCAATAGCTATAAACCAACGAGAACTTATCCTTGAACCTCAAGACCTGAATGACTTCTGTAATGCGGCCATCGTTCAGCATACATGTATGATGTTACAGGGTGGTATAGCTTCACCAGCGGCCCCCTTTCCCGAGGCAATTCCCTGCTCTCCCCTGCGAGAGGGGCACCCTAATCCGTTCACCCCATCCGACTTCAGAATGTATTCGTTGGGTTCAGCAACTCACCACCAGCATCCAACCAAACCTAGCGGATCAACGTCGCCACAACTTAGTTCTTAGTCAGCTCGCAAGTTGATATAATCTCGTCCTGCAACGTCCACAAGATGGGGGCCACCTCCCAATTCAGCACCCCTCGCACACCGAGGGGTCGGCAGGCGGATTAGAACCCGGAACCTCCGGGAGCAGAAGTCAGGCCTTAACTTCTGCCAGCCACCTGCCACCTGTATACATATATGAAATGAAGGGGAAGACGAAGGGGGTTCTTCTACCCATAAATACGTCGGCTAATGTACGGCACAATTGTACCTCATTGTTATCAATAATACACGGGTATATATACCCGTGCGCTACCTAAAGCGCATCACCAGCGCTGGTGCTAGCAGCAGCAGCAGCAGCAGCAGCATGTTGAGAATAGACCAGCAGCGACGTACTTTACACATTCCCCGAGTGCTGAGCGACTGCTGCTGGCCTGCTGCATGTCTGCTGCTGCACGTACATATGTATGTATATACATATGTGTTCGACAGGTCCATGACTGTCGCCGAATATTTCAAAGCGACTGGCCGCACTCTGCGACGACCAGACTGGCCGTGTGTTGATGTCGGAGCCCACAGTAGCAAGGTGGTCTACATACCTCTGGAACAATGCACGTAAGTCTACCTTAGTACATGTCTACCTTAGCTTATAACAATATGTGTGTGTGTTACACCTCGGTTGCGTTACCCAGAGAGATGACTGCTAAATACATAAGAGACGTCTGCATGCGTGCTGCTGCTGGTGATGTGGTGACGACGACGCACTGCTGTGCAGCCAACCATCAGCTAATAGTAGTCCCGCTGCTGTACATAGTAAATGCAGCAATCGCGTGCGTACGGCATATGCATGAATAATGTACGAATAAACCTCGCTCGGCGGCGGTGAAGTCCCATCATTGCATCCTTCCTTCCGTATCCATATCTCCTGCTGCTGCTGCTGCCGCTGGATGTAAATCCAGCATGGAAAATTTTCCATGCAGCAGTAGCAGCAGCACCAGCAGCGGCAGCAGTAGCAGCAGCAGTAGCAGCAGCAGCAGCAGCAGCAGCAGCGGCAGCACAAACAAATCCCGTTCGCGCATCCAGAAGCACACAAAGCAAAACCGCCGTCTGTGTAATCATTTTTTATATAAGTTATATGTAGACAGGGTAAGTTATCGCGTAATAGGTGGATCTATCGTAAAATTAGATCTATATCATATATGGATTTATTAGGACGTGTTCGTAACGGTATTTACGCGTCCGGTAGTTAGGCCAGCTGGAAATAGATGGCCTATAGGGGCTCCTGCATTTTACAGAACGGCATGCAAGGCACATACATACATGCGTACAAGATACACGCGCATACAAAGCACGTCCATGCAGGCTCCTGGGTGGCCAACGTCGCCACCAGCTCGACCGCGCACAGACCGCGGACATGCTTAAGGCGGCCAAGCAGGAGCCGGCGGTCAAGCGGCAAGCCTGCATCGATCAGGTGCGTGCGTGGGTCTGCCTGCCCCTGCCTGGCTGCATGCTATGTCTTGCAAGGTCTTGTCGGTCGATCCCGTCTGTTTTCACACAGTGAAATGATCATCACACAGGGAAATGATAACGGAAATGGAGGAGTAGCTTGCACGCGCACGTGCACGTGCACATGCACATGCACATGCAGCGAACAAGCGAACGGAACATGTAACGGCTGCTAGCTGCTTCCACACACACCCAACAGACATGTGCAGGAGTAATAGAACGCATTAACACGCCACGGATTTTCCCACGCCCATCAGATACCTGCCCACACTGCCTGTTAACAGAGTACACGTCCATATATAGTTAAACACCACACACCCGTAATTCATGTATGTGCATGCATGTATGTACTGCAGGCTGGCAGGGTGGCAAGCGCTTTGCAGGACGCTCGCACGGATCAGGCCTGGGGCATCCGCGCGACCAACGGCATGATGCAGATTCCGGCCCGCGTGTTGCCCCCGCCCATCCTCCAGTACGGCCAGGGCAAGGCGGTTGCTGTGGGGAATACGGGGGCTTGGAACCTGGTGTAAGTGGGGGCTGTGTGCGTGTCCATGTCCTCGTGCGATTGTGGGTGCATCCGTATGGTTGGATAGGTGGCATAGCCTAGGGGGCTTGTGGTTGAGGGGTCATCTGAGAGTCTCTGTGTGCACGCGTGTATGTATGTGTGTGTGCGTGTGTGGTTTGTGTGTGTGAGTGCGTGTGTGTGTGTGTGTATGTGTGTGTGTGCGTGTGTGTGTGTATGTGTGTGTATGTGTGTGTGTGCGTGTGTGTGTGTATGTGCGTGTGTGCGTGCGTGTGTATGTGTGCGTGTGTGTGTCAAGCGAGAGTGAAGTGAAGAAGAGGATGGGTAGATGGTATTCGAGTCGTGCAACTACTGGCAGCAGCGTCCCGTTTTGCCATTTATTAATGGATGGGTTTAAGCCTATAGCCTATGAGACATTGGGTTACTGGCCAGGCCAGCAATGGCCCTGGCCATATGCATACTCGTTATGGGTGGTGCCTGGCCTGTGCGTTCACGAAAAACCATGTTTGGCCGTTGCTGTTGTTACATACATACATATGTACGCAACATATGCATCTATGTACGTTTTGTAGTACATGTCGATTGACTGAGTGAAGCTATATAGAGCCTCTCTCGACAAGGAAAGAATGCAAGCTTGCAAGCGAAGTGCTGTATGTATGTTGTTACAGGGTGGTCAACTTCGCCAGCGGCCCCCTTTCCCGGGGCAGTCCCTGCTCTCCCCTGCTAGAGGGGCACCCTAATCCGTCACCCCATCCGACTTCAGAATGTATTCGTTGGGTTCGGCAACTCACCACCAGCATCCAACCAAATCTAGCGGATCAACGGCGCATCAACTTAGTTCCTGGTCAGCTCGCAAGTTGATATTATCACGTCCTACACCGTCCATAAGATGGGGGGCCACCTCCCATTTCATCACTCCTCAAACACCCGAGGAGCCGGCAGGCGGATTTGAACCCGGGTCGACTGGGTCGACTGGGAGCAGAAGTCAGGCCTTAACCTCTGCCAGCCGCCTGCCATATGCTGTATGTATGTATGTACACAGCACCATCGTCAGCACTCTTAACATGGATGCGTTTTTGGACATGAATTGATTGTTTGCTTGCATGTTGTCCAATGATCACTGCTAATATGTAAATGCAGTATGCATATACACCGGCTGATTGTGTTTGGATGTATGTGTGCGCGCTGTGTGTGCCGGGGCTGGGGCCGGGGCCGGGGCCGGGGCCGGGGCTTGGGCCGGGGCTTGGGTTGGGGTTGCAGGGACACTCCGTTTGCAGAGCCCGGCAAGATCCTCTCCTGGGGCGTTGCTGTGCTGATCTCGCAGGTGAGCAAAATATGTAGTAATATGTATGTATACATGTAGCATACATAGTTAGGTGGTATGTACGTATACCTATACATATACAGTCGTTACTACAGATACAAACGTACATACGTCACCAATACATCCACACACCGTATGCTTTGTTGTCCTGATGGTGCTCGGTGGTGGTGGTAGTGGTGGTTGCGCCTACACCGCGCTACACAGCAACACAATTGCTGACCAACCTCGGTCGCGCTTCAAGATCGTCACCTCACCACCAACATTATAGACAAAACAGGACCCACGTGCACTGCAGTAGTCTGGTGGTTTCTGTGTGTGTTCCATCGGTTCGCGCCTCGGTGCGCCCCTCCTGTGCACACGGCTTCCCTTGCTTTTCTGCTTTTTTGCTTTTCTTTACGAAATGTTTTTCTTTCGGCTAGGTAAGAAAGTCATTTCGCTCTGTCGCCTTCCCTTCTTTGGTCTCGTTTCGCAATCACCTAGCTGTGGCCACGTCGCCGCACCCCATGACTACTATCCAAATCATTACGGGCCAGTAAACTAAAAAAATATTCCTGATGCAGTTTCGGTTTAATCATGGAATATCCGCCTTATCTACCTACGGTATCTGCTGCAACCGTCAGTGGTTAGTCGTACCCTCGCGTGCAACCCACTCGACTCTCCGCCGAACTCCCTGTGTGTTTCCGTACTGACACTTCCGTACAGCTCGGTGAGTTCGGGGGCGCTGGTAACATAATCGCATTCGTCGACAAGCTTGCGGACGTGATGAGAGAGCGTGGAATGACGCTGGTGAGTACATTATGCATGCAAAGAGTATTGTACGGCATTGTACGGCATTATATGGCATTGTACGGCTCCGAAGGCTGTACCTAGTGCTAGCTAGCTAACTCGCCAGGCAGGCAGGCAGGCAGGCAGGCAGGCAGGCAGGCAGGCAGGTAGGTAGGTAGGTAGGTAGGTAGGTAGGTAGGTACCGTCTTGACTGTTTGGCGGCGTCGCCATGTACACATGCGCACATGCATGTGCATGCTTTGCACCGTCCGTCATGTTCGTCTTTCTTGTCATTCTTTTGCTGTCTCTTGCTTTGCTAATCAGTAGTATCACAACACTGGGCGTGTCTTTTTATTAGGTGCATACCTTGCTTGTGCTTCGGGTTGTACCATGCAATACACGTTTCGTATCTGCTGCTGTATGTATGCCTGTATGTATGCCTGTATGACTTAGATTATACTGTGGGCCGCGAGAGCCGGGGGCCAAAGCCGAAACACAGCGCAAGGGTCGGGAGCACACAGCACAAGTCGGTTAGTCTTGTGTGCTCCCGACCCCGACTCAGACTGCCAACACACTCCGCAGCCACTCCGCAGCCCCTCCATCCGGGGATGGCGCTGCAGCGGAAACACCACGACGTGCTCTCAGGTCCCGCTAGAGCCAGTCCACAAGTCTCAGCTAGGGCAAAGGCACAAGCTCTCTGGAACATCCCCCCAAAAACACAACCAGCGACACAGGGAAGAAAAACCCGACGGCTAGGGTAGCCCAGGCAGGGGAGGGCTCCTGATACACCTAACAAGCCAAAAAGGAAAAACCTCCAAGAAAGCAATGCGTAGAGAGCTCGAACCACAAGACGTCTTCCAGCCACCTCACGGCAACTGTCCTCCTCTACCTCTCCCTTGCTGGGCTGGTCCAGGGAAGAAGTAACCAACCAAAGAAAAGGGAACACGCACAAGCCCGATCACCGCTGCAGGTGCCCGGCACAGACCAGCGCGACCACAAGGGGGACAACGTAGCCACGACACACAGCTCCTAGGCCCTCCAGAATACCGCAGGGGGAGGATAGTAGCCCGCGCGGCGCCTCCCCCTTACCGTCACTAAACCGGAACAGCTGGTCCTCCAGAACCTACTCACCCTGCCTCGTACTGCACCGCTCCCACTCTCGTCCCTCGCCAAGCAACCCTGTATGTATGCCTGTATGTATGCCTGTATGCATCCATACATAAATCCATACATGCATGTTGCTGTGTATTACAACAATTTAGCAGTACGTACACACCGTACAGTGCCTACCGGTTGTTGTACGTTGGGTTCCACAGCCTCGTGACCGTCCGCCAGTGGAGTACATCCAGAGCTCCGAAACCTGGACAAACCGGGAGGGGGCTAGTCGGGGGATCGAGGCGACAATGCGCGCCGCCTTTGAGCGCGGCAAGGCGCAGTACGGCCCTCAGCCACAGCTGCTACTGGTGATCATGGCGGAGAAGGTATTGTTATCATTATTGGTGCATCTCGGCGTCGTGCATCTGCTGGGCCTCTATATGTGTGTCTGACGTCCGTCCGTAGGGTGTGTATAGGGGGGCGGCCTCCTCATCCGGGGTAATGCGGACTTTGGCGTGATGCATGAGGGATGATATAGACCTGTTTTTTTATAGACGAAGAGGGGCGGGGGCGGGTGGTCAGCATGGTCACGTTGTGTTTCCGGTGCTTGGGTGCGTGTGTAGTGGCTGGCTGGCTGGCTGGCTGGCTGGCTGGCTGGCTGGCTGGTTGTTTTATTTCTGGCGTGCGTGAGGCCACGTTCCTGGCGTGCGGCGGCTAGCTAGGACTCGCTCGTCGCATCCGGCATCCGGGAATAAATGCAAAGTATGTCTGCCTGTATGTCTGCCTGTATGTCTGCCTGTATGTATGTATGTATGTATGTATTTGTATCTCTCCACACTTCAGCCAAATAGAGTCGAATGCAAACAAGCAAATAAAATAAAACATGTATGTGTGTACCTATATTGAATTCTGCCAGCAGCCAGCCAGCCGCTGCAATGGTCACATCGCGCGCTACCTGCACCAATGTATGGCTAGGCATCCTAGCCAACCTAGCTAGGCATCATCATGACGCTAGGCATCATCATGACGCTCCCTTCTGATGTGCGCTGCATGTACATACATACATACATACATACCAGCCGTCTTGGTAGAGCGGTATTGGGGGGGCGCCGAGCTGGCTACCCTCCCCCCCTGTGGTTTCCGGAGGCTTGATCGCCCTGCGTTGCCGCAGGGTCTTCCCGTTTGAGTACTTTTCAATTTAGACCCAGTGCTGTGGAAGGGCGCGGACTTGTGCGGTGTTACCCCCTCGACGGGGGCTATCTCCCCTGGACTAGCCCAGGGAGGGAGAGGCGGAGGAGGGTAGTAGTCTCAGGAGGCTGTTTGGCGTCTTGTGGTGTGAGCTCTTTGCGCTCTTTTTTGCGTGAGGATTTTTGAGCTTGGTGACCTCCCCAGCCCGGGAAGACTCGTCGGGCTCCCGGTCGCCCAAGTCCTGGTAGCGAGCTCTCTGAGATGCTCGGTTCGTTCGGTCGGCAGGAAGAGCCCCCCAGTTGCGACTTCGTTTATGTTAGGAGACCAACGGGCATAGATCCCGTCTAGTTGGAGCGCCAAACAAGCGCTGTTGCGTGCCGGCCGTCGTTTCCCGTGCGGCCTGACCCGGGGGCGGAGTGCATGAGACTAACCAGCCGTATGCACCCGCCCCCCGCGCTGTGCTTCGGCCCTGGGCCCCCGGCTTTTCAGCCCACAGTGTAATCAACGTCATACATACATACATACATACATACATACATACATACATACATACATACATACATACATACATACATACATACATACATACATACATACATGTATGCATGCGTGCGTGTATACATGTATGTTTGTCCACACGCACACGTGCGCATGGTTCACCAGAGTGAGGAATACCGGGAGATCAAACGAGTCTCCGATGTGGAGCTCGGGGTCCCCTCCCAGGTGGTGGTGGCGCGGCAGGTGCGTGGGGGGGGTGCGGGGGGGGTGCGTGGGGGGGGTGCCTGCCGAGGTTGTTGAGGTGCGGGTGTGGATGATTGCGGGTGGGATATATAGTTACCAGATATTGATGCGGGGGATGTCCGTCAAAGCCTGATTAGGGGCCATGGACTATATATAGGAAGTTTGAATCCGCCGTACAACCGAAGGCGGTTTCTTGGTCCTGCAGCCTAGACCCCGCCTCATCCAGTTACCCGACATCATTAAGAGACAGGCCAACCATCGCCACCTACTCTGCATGGTGGTCTAAGTTTACCAATTAGACCTCGACATCACATCACACCTTAGTGGCAATCCGTAATCCTCATACTACCATTCAATCTCGGCGATACGCGCAGGGATCGAATTCAGGACCAATATCTGCTAAATGCAGTGATGTCACCAGACCAGGTATCTGTAGAGAGAGAATACACATATATATTATAGTAACTTTCTTCTTACCCAAACCAAACCAAACCTAACCCACCCACCAACCAACAAACAAACAATCTCCCCACACACACATTACACACAAACACACACAGGCGAAGATTGGCCCTCGGGGGGCGGGCCACCAGTACCTCAATAACGTGGTAATGAAGATTAATCTGAAGGTCAATGGCGTGAATGTAACACTGGCCGGCGAATTAAAGTACGTGTCAGTGATGACGTCATAATAATATGCTTACTACCTGCACATGCACGTCAGCCGCCCGCTATTCTCGATGCCTAGAAGTCCAATCATGATCAATAACCCGCGGGTGCATAGCTGCGACTGCACTGCGGCCGCAATGCACTCTTGGGAGGTTTGCCCGCTACTATCCCCTCCATGGGCGGAAGTCATATGATATGCATCCTGCTATTAGCATATGATGCATCCATGTGATCCATGCTGCTATTCGCATATGTATATGCGTGTATGCGCACTCCCATTTGCATGCATGCCTTGATGATAATATCACGCACGCGCATACAGCATACACGAGCATGCTTGTACACTTAGATTTGAATGTTTGATGCACCAAACCGCACCCAACGAACGATCTCCTATGCCGTGCATGGGATATTTAAGCCATGTGGCCACCACACGGCGCCTGGACGATCCCATGCATCGAACACATATACCATAGTTCAAGCAACTTTCTACCATGAACTCTCTTGCATACATACCTTTGTTCCCGTTGCATCAACCGCCCTCCAACTACCTGCTCCTCGACATACATACATCTTTGCATACATGACATACAGACATACATACAGACATGCACACAAACAAAATGTATTATTTAATAAAACGTGTGTGTGTATGCATGCGCACATGCGCACACGCACACGCAGGTACCTACCGGTGCTGGGGGGCAGCGGGGCGGGGCCTTTCATGATCCTGGGAACGGACGTCTCTCACCCAACGGGATTGGGGCCCCGCCTCGAGGCGACAGCACCTTCCATTGCGGCGGTTGTGGGGTCTACGGACAAGACCTTGGGGCGCTGGGCCACCCGCGTTATGGTTCAGGCCGCCCGGCAGGAGGTCATCTCCGGGCTGGATGTGGCGGTTGCGGAGATCATACAGGAGTTCATGGACCTGAACAGGTGAGGTTGTTGGTTCGGTTGGTTCGGTTGGTGGATTTGGGTGATAATCTGGCTGCTGCTGGCTGCCGCTACTAGCTGATGATGATGATGATGATTGCATGCAGATGATGAACGGGGCTGCGCGCGGCGGCATCCTTATGCGTATGTATGTTGGTGTGTTGCTTGTGCACCACATGCACGCACATTTACACAGCGGCTGTGCAGCCGCTTGTTGTTATGTGGCTAGCTACATATGTATGTATGTATGTCCTCTTCGCAATGTGAGTGCTGTGTATACATACATTGCTCCCGACCCTTGCGCTGTGTTTCGGCTTCGGCCCCCGGCTCTCGCGGCCCACAGTGTAATCTAAGTCATACATGGCGTGTTGAGTAGTTAAGTAGGGATATATGTACATCCCAGATATATCTGAATGTACGGATATGCGTACACAGCTACACAGCTAGATAGATGATAGATGGCTGTCTAATGCTGGCCATGTATGCACTCGATACATGGTGGGTAGCAAGCTGCCGCAGGTACATGGCATCCTTCTTCGCTCCGGCCCTTCCATCCGTCTGCACATGTATGCATGTATGTATGTACTACTACTTGATAATAATGACGATGATAATAATAACAATAACAGCAACCTGTCTGCTGCTGCTGCCTCTCATTTTATTGCTCCCCATTTCCCCTCAGGGGCCACAAGCCCCAGCGCCTGCTTATGTATCGAGATGGCGTTAGCGAGGGCCAATTCGACCAAATCCTGTCGGAAGAATTCCTCGCGATACGCAAGGTGGGTGCGTGGCTGGGTGCGTGGCACCTCTGCAGTTGCGAACCATGTGTCGTGTACACAAAAACCCATGCATGTGCGTGCCACCATATGGCAAAACCCCCCACATGCCCCCCAGTACTGGCCAGGGAGCGAACCGGCCCCGCCGCGCCGCCGTCCTGACGCCACGCATAGCATGGATGCACCCCCTCCTTCTGCTGGCTGTTGTATGTGTACATAAAATACACAAACATAACGGTGCACATGCAGGCCTGCTTACGAGTGGAGCGGGGCTACCAGCCCCTCATCACGTTTGTGGTGGTGCAGAAGAACCACAACACCCGACTCTTCCCAGCGGACCGAAATGGCCCCGGGGCGGATCTCAAGTATGTGGTTGATCGATGCACGTGATGATGAGCGCACGAGGAAAAACAGCAGTTTACATTGGATGGATGGCCAAAGTGCAATGTCGAATGCCTAGTGAGGTAGAAGTTAGGAATGCAGTAATAACAACAGTAATAATCAAAAATAAAATAATAATACTAGTAATAATAAAATAAATAAATAAATATTAATAAATATTAATAAATATTAATAAATATTAAATAATAAATAATGATGAAGGATGATATGAGGACGGTAATATTAAGAGGGATTTCCTTGTTACAGAGGTATTAATATTTGTTTTGCTAGCTAGTAATAAAGACTAATAATAAATAACGTGACGGTCCACGCATACAATCTGCGGTCCTTAGCTAGCCGCATTCCCTACCTCCACTCCTCGATTCGCCTACCTACCTACCTACCTACCTACCTACCTACCTACCTACCTACCTACCAACCTCGAGTTCGCTTATCCTCTGATCGACTAAACCTCGGCTGATTATCACCACGCACCCTCTTTAAACCGGAGCAAAGCTAATTACGCACATTCACGCAGAGGCAACGTGGCTCCGGGTGTGGTTGTGGACGAGGGCATTGTGGCGCCCGCCGGCTATGATTTCTACCTCAACAGCCACGCCGGCCTGCAGGTGCACACCCCTACTTGCTATTACCCGCACCTACCTACCCAACCACCTACTAACACTGCATCTACCTACCTACCGCAACACACAAATACCTACCACTGCACAACTACCTACCCAACTACCAATTACCTACCTACCTATCTATACGTACATAACTACCTACCAGGCTGGCGGGCTAGGCGGCTTAAAGCTGAACCATCAAGCCGCCGAGCCGCTGAGCTGCCGAGCCGCCTTCTTACCTAAACCTAAACCTAAACCTACCTAGCTAAACCTACCTAGCTAAACCTACCTAGCTAAACCTACGCACCTACCTACCCAAAATTCTCCTGCGTACAGGGAACAAATAAGCCTGCCCACTACCACGTCCTCGTTGACGAAATCGGCTTCGGGGCTGACGGCATCCAGCTACTCACGTACTGGATGTGCTACTTGTTCCAGCGAGCCACCAGGTAGGCGGGCACACGAACGGTGGGCCTCTTCGCCCGCCTTGTAAACGCCTTTTTAACTCACAGCTGCCCACCGGGCTAGAATTGTACTAATACATTTTAAAAAAACCCTCTCCACCCTGCTGCATGACGACCCCGTGGTTCTACCGTGGCCGTTCTCTTCCCCTAAAGGGGAAGAGCTCATCCCCCCCCTGAACAAAGATATGTGCGCTTGCATGGAATGCTGTATGCATTTTTCAGTTTGTGAACACCCCTGCATTCTTTCCTTTACCGTTACCATGCTGTGCTCGTCATGCTGTGCTAATCGTGTACTTGTATGTACGTACGGGATTGCACCTTTCGCTTTAATAAAGCCGTGTATGTACGAAACGAAACTCCTTCCCCCCCCCAGGTCAGTTAGCTACTGCCCGCCGGCTTACTACGCCGACCGCGCGGCGTTCCGTGGGCGCACCCTCCTGGTGGGGCGTTCTACTATAGTTCTAGAACGTTCTGATGGCGTCCGGCGGAGGGCGGGTCCACGGGGGGTCCCGGGAGGGGGAGGTGCAGTAGCTCCTGTCTGGGGCCCTGTGGGGGAGATGGCTGTAGCGGGGGGTTGCCGCGGCCTTCAGGCGCCGCCATCGGGCCGTGTGTGGTGGTGTGGAGTTGGGCTGTTTTTCGGGATGACGTGAAATAGGTCGTTCAGGGGATGTACGAGGGGCAGCGGTAGGGTCCATGACTTCTGGGTGCCCCTGGTGAGGATGAACAGCACAGCGGGTTGTCGGGTAGTCAGGTCATGGACAGAGCGTACATCTTCACTAATCTATATGTAAAGATAAATGCATAAGCTGGGTTTTCGACATCCACTCGCCTTATCTTATCCCTATTATGCTTTCTCTCTGTACATTCATTCATTCATCCATCCATCCATCCATCCATCCATCCATCCATCCATCCATCCATCCATCCATCCATCCATCCATCCATCCATCCATCCATCCATCCATCCATCCATCCATCCATCCATCCATCCATCCATCCATCCATCCATCCATCCATCCATCCATCCATCCATCCATCCATCCATCCATCCATCCATCCATCCATCCATCCATCCATCCATCCATCCATCCATCCATCCATCCATCCATCCATCCATCCATCCATCCATCCATCCATCCACATGTGCCCTCAGGCCGCAAGCTCTTCGGAGAGCGGTTCGGATATGGGGTCGGTACGGAGTGGAGGCGGTCGTGGCCGCGGCGGAGGTCCTGGGGTTGGTGGTGCTTCCATCGCAGCCGCAGGGGCGGGCGCCGGCCCAGGCGGCAGTGGTGGCGGACCGTCGGCGAATGTCCGGCTGCAGCAGCAGCAGCAGTTCGTACAGGTGCATAGTTCACTACTGCGAAATTCCGGAATGTACTATATGTAGTTGTACGTACCGTACATAGCCTACGTTGTATAACACTCCTGTCGTACATGGAAACGCGCCAAATCTTTCTCTACCTGCTGTGCTGTATGTGGCGATGTACTGGCTGCTGCACTCATCCGTGTGCCAGCAGGTGCATGGTATGTGGTATGTTTGTGGCTACTAGATGGCGGGCGATATTCAAACGTATACAACTATAGACACAATATTTTATGTAAATATATCTCATAATATAAGCTCGTGCTGGTAATTGGGTTGGTTGAGTACATGACGATGGGGTAATGATGTAATGATTGCGTGTGCAGTGTTTTCCCGCCCTCTCCAGTGATGGGGGTACGATGCGGGACACGGAGGGACACTACTGGTTGCCGGTTTTCTCTCATGTCTCTCTTGGCTCCTGTTGCTCTTCGTTGCGTTCTTGTTGACGGCGTCCTTGAATCTCGGTCTTTAACAACGATGGACGGGGGATAGATACTTCCCCGTGTATGCTGACGTGTATGCTGATGCACGACTTGTCGATCGGATACCGGGCATTTGTGTGGGAGTCGTGTGCAGCAGAGGTTGGTATCCGTCTTCAGCACGGTTTTCCGCTCAATACAAATCCTACTTCTGTGCCTAGCTACATGTCCACCCACTGCTCGACCAACCAACCAACAGCAATTACAATATATCCAACGGATCATCCGATAATTGATAATTGACCGTATGGCACTTCAAGCCCTCGCCCGTACATACAGCAAGATAGGTAGGGCTGCCCTGCACGCCTAAACAGGCGGTATGTCATGTCCATTTTTTTAGCGTCACGTTCATCTTACCGCCTTTTCTTGACGTATCTGTATGAGTATCTGTGTGAAGATGCGTATTACGTGTGTTGTTTATTGGCGTCAGTTTTGTAAGGTTTTGGTAGTTGTCGTCGCCTTACCTTCGCTTCGCTGATCGTTTCGAGATCGAAGTGCAAAGACAGATTTGTTTACGTACGTTGAGTTGTTCTGATTGCAGATTACTCCTTCTCTGTTTGAGCGTTTGTTACATTGAGGAAATGCGCTTGACTATTTTGCCATTGGTTGGGCTAGGTGGGCTAGGTGGGCTAGGTGGGCTAGGTAGGCCAGGGTAGGCTAGGTAGCCTACCTATAGGTCACGCCAGCTGTGTTATGCACAGCCGCTCCACCAATCGGCAAGTTAGAGCCATTTTAAATCTTTGTTCAGACTTGTTTACGTATTCCGACACTGCGTCACCTGATACTGCTCGCCTAATCAGCAGGCCAAAAATACAAATCACCGCTTTCTCAGGCTTGGTCACGCCAGCCTCCGTAATACTTTTACATCACACAACTTAACTTGCCTGATCGGCAGGTTCGAGTTCTGCTCTGGGAGTATCGAGCAATTTTCTCAGTACGTACCATCCTAAGCGTGCTCAAGCTATCCCAAGCGTACACACGCAGTGTCTTTATTAACAAGCCTTAGTCGGCCCTGCAGTGCAGGCTATCACACGGTAGACCACCCGAGGAGCGCGGCGGCCTCGCGCAACCGTATTGCACATTAGGTACATTATCGCGGTCCAGTTAGACACGGACCTCGAACAGCTTCTGCGGCCGATTCATAACATCACTGTCAACACGCCAGCGGGCGCTATACTAAAGGCGAAGCCTCCCGCGCCGCGCGTTCGCGCTCCGATAACGGTTTAGCCGTACAGGTGGCGTCTGTCGTGACTAGGTTAGCTGGCACCAAGGTTGGGTTTGCAGCTGTACCGACCACTATTAGGGTACAATCCGGGAGCGGGAGAAGTGGGCGCGTCTGTTTGGAGAGCGTCGTCTTCGGAATCGCTGTCCCTAGAAAAAATAGGGTTAATGTAGGTGCGGGGTAGGCCCCCCACCTACATTAACCCTATGTTTTCTAGGGACAGCGGTTCCGAAGACGACGCCATGCAGAGCCTGTATCCTACCGCCGAACCGTTTTAACACAGAGGGCTAGAGGATTTTCTCACAAAGCTTTTTTAGTAAGGGGTTGCCTATCCGTTAGTCGTACTTCCCGGTCGTACCACTCCTTTCGAGGCTTGGTGCAACTCCCATAAAGAACCTCCTTGTCGAAGCCGCAGCGCACTTCCAAGTAGATGGACCAGGTGCTGCAGCCGGAGCAAACGTCGTCTCTCCTCGGCAACTGTATACATGAGTACTACGCTCACCTCTTCTTCGTCCCCTGGACGGAAACGAAGAAGAGACTTTGGGGATGAAAGGGGAAAACTTCGCTTCGGCGCGCACGGAAAGTGATTTGGCGCGCTTCGAAAGTCCACAGCAAAAAAGCTCTTCCTCCTGTCGTTTTCAAAGACATGCTGCTAGCGTTTGAGAAGAAGCTGGACGGCAGGGTGAGCAAGCACCAGGTGGTGGTGCAGCGCTTCCTTCATGATGGCTTGCACTCCACATTGAAACAGCACCTAGAGCTGCAGCACATAACCGTCGAGCATACAAAGTGGTACGAGCGCCTAGAGCAGAAAACGGCACGCGAAGCAGATGTTGTCGGTGTTGGAGCAATCTCCCACTGGGTGACCGAGTCGTTCATCCCGCATAAAGGCCCGTTTCCGCTGAAGGGTACAGTACCTGAGCCGCACGTTACGGAGAAGCAAACCTTCTATTGCGAGAAGCATAGAATTAATACAACCCACAATACGTACGGCTCAATGCCGAGTTTTGGAGGCGGCGAAGGCCAGGGAGGGAAGAGCTAGCGCTCGGAGTGCGGGTGGAGGCGGGGAAAAGAAGCCCTCGATGGTGTATTGCCCTGATACGGAATTAGTGATTTAAATCGTTGTTTAAATACTGATCCGGGGCTCCGGAACCCTTAGGATCTCTGTCAAGATTGGTGAGCGAAATACTGCAATGTAAGCCGCGCGTTAAGGTGATGGTGGACATGATGGTACAGTTCATGTACGGCAGGTGTAGTGGTACGATGGAAGGCTGGATAGATGGGTACGCAATCGGTGTACGACATGTTTTACATCTCGCACATGGCGAACGCATCTGAACAGTTCTGCACGCACGCGCACACATCCACACGCAACCGCATGATGTATGCACATGCATCCGCAGGCATGTGCACGCTTCTGGTGGATTTGGTGCACTTCCTAGCCCAGCCTTGCACTGCAATGGAGCGGCTTGCAACTCTAATTCAGTGTTTCTTAATTGCACCCACCATCGTAATAAGAGTCTCTGATCTTTCTCATCTTGGAGCAATACTGACAACACTGCGCAATGTGCGAACCTTTCCTCATATCCTCAAATCAGGCATAGTACTTCGGACATCCGTTTCGCCCCCTCCCCACCTTCCCCCCTTCCCCCGGCACAATCCTCCTCCTCCTTGTTTCGCTGTTTAACCAGGAACCGCTCCGAGACCACCGCAGATATTTCCTTCTCATCATGCACTGTGGGTATCTTGCACTGTCGCACTGAGCCGCTTGAATGCCGTATAACGCAGTTCTGCCCCCTTTGAACAAACACATCAACGACGCAGATTTGATGCTCACTCTTGGCGAGGCCGCCCGCGCGCGGCAATGCAACCAACCAGTCACGCTACCCCCTCACTATTATACGACAAGACTACGGACGGAGCAACACCGTACTTTCCCCTAACCCCCCTCAGGCGGCAAAACAGTGCGCAAACGCAAGTCCTATCTCCCAAGTCCTATCCCGTTCACCGACTTGATGAATTTTCGTTCACGGCATGATCGCGTAATAATGCATTTTATTTGCAGCACCCCTTTCATCTATGAGACAGGAGAGAAGCCAGGTCCTCTTCAACATCCCTACCAGCACCATCAACACCTAAAACTGCGGCACGGCACGGACAAACCGCCGCAACACCTTCCAACCTCCATTCATCCCCTAATCTTCTTACTTTTTAATAATCTCCGCGATCCTGTGTGCCAAACGTCGCCCCCTTCCCTCCTCCATGTACACAGCACGCCGCACGCAACATTCGCTATTCTCCAAATCCGTGTGCACTTCCCACCCGCCTCCACCACCAGTGCTCCCCGCCTCAATAGCCGCTCTTTTTATCAGACACGTTGGCGAGAGGTTGCCCCGCCACGAAGCGGCCCATGTTCTCCACAAAGAAAGCCAGGCTCTCAAACTTCCGGTTAGCAGGGAGCGGCGGCGGCGGCGGCGGTGAATGGAGGGTAATGGAGACGTGAACCGAGGATGGGAATTCATTCCCATGCGGAAGGGCTAACAATAGGAATGAATGAAAAGCAGCGGAAGCAGGCATAGAGCAAAGGCGGCTGGGAAATCAGTAAGGCAAGAAAGGTTAGTGCCGTTCACAGCGGCAGGGCAGTGTTGGTGCCGATCATCACTGGCATGAGCCAAGCCCACCCACCTACCCCAAGACCACGGGACGGGGCGGGAAACCCGGGGGGGGCTGGGGTTTGGCGGTTTCTGTCAACTTACCTTTGTGCTGTCAACACACGGCTGAGCGCATTTACCTTCCGCCCAGCCCACCCCAGCCCAGCCCAGCCCAGCTAGCCCATTTCCCCCCCCCCCACCTGAAACTCCTTGGTGCGGTCTGCACAGTGCGGCGACATGAGCACGTTGTCCAGCTTCCACAGGGGGCTGTCCGGGGGGAGCGGCTCCGTGTCAAACACGTCCAGGGCGGCGCCCCGGATGCGACCCCCCTGGAGAGCTGTATGTGTGTTGGCGGGAAGAGAGAGGTAAGGCGGGTGGGGAAGGGTATGTGGGGGATGCGGGAATGAGGGTAGGCGGGCGGGTCATGTGCGTACACTCACATATACACCCACACAAGCTTGTTTGTGTCTTATAAGCTGAGCCGCAAAACTCACTGCTGCTGATGCCACACGAGCAACTCAACACTGTGGAAAGTCCATGTCCATGTCCAAGTCCAAGACCACGTCCTGCCACGAAGCTCCCCCCCAAACCCCCCGAGACCACCCACCACCAAGCCATCCCGGTTCGCTCCCGCAACCCCCTCGTGCAGAGCCCTCCCCCTCACAGCCCTCACCTTCAACCAGCGCCGCCTCATCCACGCACTTGCCCCGCCCCACGTTGATGAACACTGCGTGCGGCCTCATGGCGGCAATGGCCGCTGCGTCCACCATCCGGTGTGTCCCGGGGGTGTACGGCGTGGCCATCACCACGTAGTCACTGACCGACATGAGGGCCTGGAGCTGGTCCGGAGGGAAAACCTTATCCTGGGGGCGGGGGATGCGGGGTGGAGGGGTGCGGGGTGGAGGGGTGCGGGGTGGAGGGGTGCGGGGTGGAGGGGTGCGGGGTTGTTGAGGGGGGGAGGTGGAGGAATACGAGGATTGGGGAAGAGAGATCTCACAAGGGGTGTCCCTACCCCACCCAACCCTCACCCTCAACCTCAACCTCACCCCACCCCACGACTGCAACACTGCCCAATAAAAGAACGTGACTAAATTGTAGTATAAACAAACCCCATCCAACCCTCACCCTCTCCCTCACCCCACCCCACAACTGCAACACTGCCCAATAAAATAACGTGACTATTTTGTAGTAAACACAAACCCAACCGCACCCTCACCCTCTCCCTCACCCTACCCCACCCCACCCCACTCCACCCGTCCGCGGTGTATCTCACCACCACTCCAGCTGCCTGCTCCTCCGCGGACAGCTCCACCCGCCGCCGCAGCGCCACAACCCGCATGCGGAAGGCCTTGGCCAGCCGGCCACACGCCTGGCCGATGTCGCCGTACCTGAGCGTACACACGTCAGGGGTCGAGTGCATGTGCCGTACACCGTACGTGGGACGAGCCCGGGGAGAGGCAGGGGGCGGTAGAGAGGGAGCGGGCTCGGGCTAACCAGTCGTGGGCAAATACGTGCATGCACAGGACACGTTCCTGCGCCCTCGTGGCGGCCGTGACGGCCTCACAGAGGGCGAGGAAGGAGCTGCTGACATCATTACAGTCTGATGCGGCACACGATGCGGCATATCGATGTGTGCCGTCATGGCGCCAGGTCCTCAGGTGAGGCAGTTTGGTGGGTGGGATGGATTGCGTGCTGGCTGACAAGCGCTTATGAGTAAACGCTTTATGAAACTCAGGGCTGGTAGTGGTGGTGGTGGTAGTGGTGGTGGTAGTGGTGGTGGTAGTGGTGGTGGTAGTGGTGGTGGTGGTGGTGGTGGTGGTAGTGGTGGTGGTAGTGGTGGTGGTAGTGGTGGTGGTAGTGGTGGTGGTAGTGGTAGTGGTGGTGGGTGGTATTATGACCTGTGAATCCCTACTGCGAATCCCGAATCCCGCGACAAGTGCATGCCAAGCAAATGTGCTGCATACCCGATGATGCCCATCGTCTTGCCGCGCAGCTCCTCTACCTCGTACGGGTCCCATTGGACGGCAGCCTGTGTGGATGTCCGTACACATGTGGTGCCGTACGGAGACAGGATGCCGGAAACGGACGGACTATGTAGGTCCACTATAACAGCGATGGCGGCAGCGGTCATGAAGAGGGACAAAGGAGCGCGACGGGACTCCCCGGCGGGCCGCGTATGCCGGGGATCATACACATGGCCTGCCCCCCCAACACAACCCCGAGGACTGCCCACCGACCCACCGACCCACCGACCCACCGACCCAAATCAGAGCTACCACACAATCCGATGGGAGCGGAGACGTACGCCATTCCGCTGTGACCTTCATCCCTCAGAGCTTGATTTCCCTTTTGCCCCCTTCTGGCTTCCTAGCTAGAGGAGGAAGGGATGGTGGTGGTGGTGGCAGTGGTGGTGGTGGTGGTGGTGGTGGTGGTCGAGGGGCGCACCTGCTGTCGCCGCAATCTTGGGAGGTCTTTTGCGAACCAGTTGCAGGCCGTCAGACAATACTCGGCCAGGCTGTTGCTGTAGACACCCTGCATGCCATGTGCGTGTGTGTTTCGTGTCTCTTGTGCCCCGCGGGTGTGGGGGTGTAGTTCCCCCTGGCCCACCAAACAAAAGCTAACGTACAAACCACCCGTCCGACCGATCGACCCCACCGACAAACCTAACCTGGTATATATACAGACGCCGACGGGCGCTCTCATACACACATGCACTCTCCCTCCCTCACGCACGCACATACACACACACGCACAGGTCCCCAGCCGACCCTCTCCCCACCCTGGATGTCAAACCTTGGCGTTGGTGAGCGTTACAGGCCCGTCCACCAGCTCCGGAAACAGCAAGTGCTCCAGACCCGCACTGGCGCTGTGCAACCACTCGAGGTTTCGGAGCTTGGGCCACATGGCCTGCGTTTGTTGCTTTGTTTTTGTTTATTATTTACATCGCATTACCTTGGCCGCACAACATTATGATGGATGTGAGAAAATAAGTCGCGACAAGGCAAGAAGAGGAAGGCCAGCGTGGGCCCAACCAACCAACAACCAACTAGGGCGTGTTCCACACGAAGGGCGTGTTCCACATGACGAGCGAGACAGACCCACCATCGGTCGGCTGCTTACCCGAATATCATCCCCCTTTCCCGCGTTCTTGCCCACTCCGCAATTCAGGAGTACTGTGATGCTGTCCCACTGCTCGGGAGTTAGGTGGACCAGGTCGTCAAGGTTGCGACCAATGGCAACAACGGTCACGGTTGGAGGCAACTGCTTCAGAACCTCCAGCTCCGGCAGATTGGGCCCCGAAACCACGAGCAGGTTGACGGTACGCGGGGCGGCCATGGTTGCGGCTGCGGCGGGCACGGCACAAACCGCCGTGTTGCGTTGCGATGGCACTGAGGGGCGTTCACCGGGCCGAGTCCTGAGGGACAGCCTGGAGAAATGGGGAAGGAAGTAATGACAAGGTTTTGCCGTTGCATCCGCATGCCTCGCATGAATATGTGCCGCGTGTTGACTGTGTGAGCACCCCTACGTTTCGAGTGAGACAACCCGATGGTTTCTTGTGCGCAGGATGTTTTTTGTGGCCCACACTCTGCTCAATGTCGATTACTTGAGAGCCTGAACTTCTTGGAATGTTGAATTCAGGGGTTTCCGTGAAGTCGAGGACCTATGATGAGAGTGGGCTGGATGCGTTATTCCATAAAAACCCTCCAAAACTATCCGTTATTTGCACATGTCATGATAGGTTGAGGCACAAGAATTGTTTCTTGAGAGCTTACAAATTAGGATCCCAGGAAAAAACGACAGTGTTGGAGGCAATTCTTACCTGAGCGCTGCAGGCACCGAAGAGGCCCGATGCAAAGAAGTGGCACGCGTTTGTTGGGATGAACCTTGCATCACTAAAAGCACCCGCCAAAACAACAAATATTTACATTGAGCCTTCACTTCCTGTATCGGTTCGCTGTTGATCGCGGCTCCGGGACCGTACTACTACATGTCTTCGTGGAAGTCACTTACACATACACAGAGATTTCTTAGCGTGGTAAATATTGTTGCTTTGTCTTGCCTGGGAAACAATTTCTTAAACCTCAACGATCCCGAATCAAAGTGGAATTGACTTCTTCAGCCTGTCAGCTTACAAGTCATCTCTAGGAACCACTAACGTTAAAATGGTTAACACACGGCCACTTACATTTAAGCAAGAGCACTCGATTGGTAAGCGAATTTTGTGGGCGTCACTTCGGGCAAGCTCTAGGGTTTACTTCAACTTGTCATGCCTGTCCGCGGCCCATGCAGATAAGCGAAAAGCCGAAGCCGCACGCATCAAGGAAAAATATCCTGACCGTATTCCTGTGAGTATCATGAAGGCGGGATTAGCGGACCGAGGCATATCGCACCTTGTCGTCTTCAGCTCACGAGCAGCCTTTCACGCTCGTTACAGGTCATCGTGGAAAAGGCAGAACGTAGCGATATTCCCGACATTGACAAGAAGAAGTAAGTTCGTTGTGCGCAGTTTCTGAGGCAACTCCGCTTGCCTGGCCCTGATGACGCTGGCATGGCACCTGAAGGTACCTTGTGCCCTCGGACCTTACGGTTGGGCAATTCGTCTATGTCATCCGAAAACGGATAAAGCTTAGCCCCGAGAAGGCCATCTTTATATTCGTGAAGAACGTCCTGCCACCGACAGGTGGGTTATGTGGACGCTGCAGCACCTTGGACATCCCTTGGACGCCCCTTGCCCTGTACCCCCTGCCTCGCCGTCCCGGGTTTAGGAGATTGGGCGCGTGACCCCATCCGCGTGGTTCGAGGTTACGACAACCCGTAAACGTGCAAACGGTCGCGTGACTTGGGTTTCGGAAACCTGCGAGCATGGTGGTCGCCCCACGGCTATGTTGCACTTCCTACTTGGAGAAATCTGCGGCCTTTCTTTTGCGTGCGAGCTAGTCCTTACAACGTTACTTTTACGGAACCGATTCGGTGTACACGTCGACACATCTGTAACGCAACCTTGGTTTCTCAGTTTTGTATAGAACGTACCGCCTTGGGTGGTGCTGACCCTTCTTCCAAAAGTGCATCGCGGCGCCACACGCGCACGCTGTCTCTCAAAATTGCTGCCGCCGGAAGCAACTCCCTGGCGGCATCGGTGCTGTCTGTAGTCTGCACCTCTTTCCCACGCGCACGCGCCATGCATGCCCCCTATCCCGCCTATCCCCCAGCCGCCCTGATGTCCTCCATCTACGAGGATCACAAAGACGAGGACGGCTTCTTGTACATCACTTACAGCGGAGAGAATACGTTTGGCGGCGTCGCGGCGCTGGGGGAGGGGGAGGAGCAGGAGGGTAATGAGCAGCTGCTGCTTCAAGGGTAGGCGCTGCCGCGGGGCATTACTGTCAGCGCGGGGTCCGCGACCTGCACGTTGCAGTTTTACGAAGTTCGCTTCCGACCAGGTTGACCGCTGTTCCCCTCTGTACGGGACGGGGCTGAGGCATATTGCAGTACAGCTATACGTCATGAACTCGTTGAAAATGATGATTTGCTGGTCCTAACGGCAACTGCGATGACATCTGCGGCTGTTTCAACGCGGTGGCGGGAGCAAAAGCAACGGTGGACGCTGCAGCACAACTGAAGCTGCAGTAGCGGAAGCACGTGCAAGAGCAGCTTTGCAGCTGTAGGAGACCAGTTTGGAGACCCATTCGGCTCCTTGCTCATCTCTGAACGTCGGCCAATGCTCTCCCGTTGTTCCTGTCCCAGCACGACGGGCTCTGGGGCTGCACCTGGAGCCCTGGCTCGTATGCGGAGGAGCTGCCGGGCGGGCGGAGTGACGTCCCGCAACCCCCATGTGCGAGGTTGCCACGTTGGTCGCTGTTTGGAGTTGTTTTAAGTGATGATGCACTGCTGCTGTTGTAGTAGACGCGAACGCGGGTTTAGATGCGGCTGCAGGTGCCATTGTTCACCTTGGTGGGCGCCTTCTGAAGTATGGCTGGGTCCATGGACGTTTTCAGTTCTGGAGTAACAGCAGCAGCAGCAGCAGATTGCATGGCGGTAGTAAGGAACCGGCATTTAGAAGCTGTTTAGAACACATTTCCTCATTACTTTTGCCGTGTGTTGGGATGCATCTCCCCAGCAATTATGAGACCCTTTGTACCATTACTGACTACCCGAATGCTGCACATGATGTGCATGTATGTCTTGGGATGCTCGTCGCACACGTGTTTGTAAAAATGTGGTAGTGGTAAAAAGTAGCGATGAGCCCCCGGGCTATCTGGTATTATGTTGCGGGGTACTTCGTTCTTTTGGTTGGCTTCTGTTGGTCCTTCTTTTGCTGGCGCGCTTAAGGGACGATGCGTGCTCGGCGTCACACGCACTCACGTGCGGCATTGTCGTCTTTTGAAAAGGTGCCGAAGACGCCGCCACCGCTTGCTCTCTCACCTCACGGCTGTTTCTTTTTCCCATAGTGGCCTCCCCTCCAGCGCATTTTTGATCATTGACACGCGTCACAGGGCATGCGACTCAAATACTTCGCATGCTGCTGCCAATTGTGTCTTGTGTTGGGTGTGGTGCGGTCTGGGATATTGCATCAGGAGGGAGGAAGTGTGAACCCCAAAAGACGCCAAGGCGCCGCCTGTGCCGTTAGACCCACGTTTTGGAGGGGGAGACGGGGGTGTTTTGCTAAGCTGTGCTGTACCTAACATTGTCACTGATGTGACGTATACGGACGCCACCTATCCGTATTCGCCCTCCACTCCCCAGCTGACCTTTTGCTGTAGGGCTGCTGGTAGTTAGGGTGGGATTAGTACGGACTGCATGCTACAGTCCCGGCTGGACGTTTTAAGGGCTATCTCTCAGCTCTGGAGGACACCTGCGATGTACTCTCGGGAGGCGGCGCGTGTAATTTGAGGCGGGCTTGCCGATGCAACAATGATATGGAATGACCAGGGAGAGATTGTCGTTGTGTTGGTTTTTGTTGTCGCTTGGGACAGAGCGCAAAGCGCCGGCGACCCGTGGCTCGACCTGAAATGTTTTCGCTGGGCAAGAAACCTACTTATTCAATTTTGCACTACAAAAAACTTGGGAGTAAAAAGGTCCCAGGCAGTTGGTCTTCCGTGCTGGCTTGTGGAAGTGCTGGTTTGTGGGAGCACTGCCTGTGGGATGGAAGCACTTTGTTTTGTGAGGGCACTGGACGAAACGATAGAAATACATGTAACGCCTAGCGGCAAACCAGTTGCAGTTGCACTGGTTGGTTCCGTCATTAAGCATGCGTCCGGCACACAGACTCTACTCCCCACAGACTCCCGTCACGGGTCTCACGACGGTGATCTCGCAAGTGGGGCAGCCACATACCTACCCTCCACACGTTCGCACAAGCGTGCGCTGTTTGCTCGATCGCCTAGAGCGTATGCACCGTTAAATCCCCGTGATCTGCCCCTTTCCTCCCATGTCATTCATCCAAGTACTAATTAATTTGCTAATGCCTACAAAACCTAGCGGTGTTAGTGCACTCATCGCACACCTGCTCCAAACTGGCGGTGGGAAGTTCCAGCAACGCTTGCGCTCACCACCACCAGAACTACCACCACACATTTAGGTAACTTCAAGGTGTTCGTTCCCGTGTCTTCTCGTGGCACCTGTAGTTTCGGTGCGTTCTGCCGGTTTTACCGCCCTCCCAGTGCCCCGCTCACATCCTCAGCCCGAATACACGCCGCCGCCATACCCAATCCGCCACACATGATGCCATACATCCCTTCGTAGCAAACCGAACCGAACCCATCGGGCGCCTACGCCCACGACAACAGCCCCGCAGCATCATCACCACCACCACCACAGCCACAAGGATTTTTTTCACGGACCCGGGGGCTCCCACGCTACTCCTCTGTTCTCGTTTGTGTGCGCTTGGCCTGCTCCAGCCTGTACTGCTTTATGATGACCCCCAGGTCGGACACGAAGTTGCCGATGACATCCAATTGGTGCAGCGGATTGGACTCCGCGGGGTGACCGATGGAGCTCTTGGAGCGGCAGCGGTTGAAGATGTTGTCCGCGGACAGCACCACCTGACCGTACTCCAGAGTGCGCTGGCTGGCGATCTGAGGAAGGGAAGGGGGCCCGGCAGTGGAGCGGGAAGGGGGGAGAGGTAGGCGCGACGAGGAGCGGGAAGTGGATTGGTTGTTGATTTAAGTAAGTTCGGGTTTGGAAAGGAAAAAACGGATTACAGCCGATGGGAGAAGGAGGAGGGATGGGAGAAGAAACGCCGCAGACTGTAATAGCAAAGGAAGAGGGCTTGGATGGAGGACGAGGGCCACGTGCATCATGGTGGATTGGAGGTGGGTGGAGGGTGGAGGAGGGTTTGAGGGGGTAGTCAAGACAAGTGGTATGCATATGGAAAGAGGGGACAGGGACTGGCAGGGAAAGGCAAGCGAGAGAAAGAGGAAGGGGACACCCTGGGGAGCAAAGCGGAGGAGGGGGAGGGGGAGGAGGAGGAAGAGGGGGAGGTAGCAGGCTCAAGTCTCTTCCTGGGGAGGGGCAGGAGGGAGATCACTCGCACGCAGGGGTAGTCTCACCTGCAAGCTCGAGTCCTTTTTAGCTTCTTGAACCAGGGCCTCCGCCTCGTAGCCCTCCAGCTCCGTCTTGAGCTTTGCAACCTGTGCAGCACCATAACCGGGCGGGGAGGGGGCACCAGAGGTGGGAGACCCGCAAGACATGCAAGAGGCGATGGGCCACCCGGGGGAAGAGGTGACGAGAGGCAGTAGGGGGGTTAAGGGGGAGAGGGGAGGATAACGACCACAGCGGCGATAAACTCCTCTGCTCTCTCCCTCTCTCACACGCACACACACCTTCCCTTCCCGCCCCTCCCCGCCCTCCCCGCCCTCCCCTCCCCTCCCTTCGGACCTGGTTATTGAGGTTGAGGATCTCATCCGTCTTCTGCTTCACGTAGATCTGCAGCTCCGTGCGCACCTTCTCCGCCAGCTCGCTGCAGCGCCGCTGGTGGTCCTTCAGGTCGGCGTTGGTGGCGGACAGAGTGGCGTGGCGCAGCAGCAGGTCCGACACCTCCTGATACTCGTCCGCCACCTCCAACACGGATTCCAGGTACTGCTGATACCTGAGGGCGGCAGGGTGAGCAGAGCGAGCAGGCGGACGAACGCAACCCGCGGTAAACTTTCGCCCTCCGCAGTACTAAACTGCTGCATGACCACGTTACATCGCAGGATGCCCGCCGGGTACCTCGCTGAGCTATTTTGGCAGGTGTGGGGACCGCACACGTGAGGGGGCCGCGCCCAGCTGGGCTTGCGGTTGTTATGGTTGCAAGGGCAGCGGGGACAGAGGAGAGGAACGATGCGTGCGGGTTTTGGAGTTCGACGCGACACGCAGTTCCACAAGCCGCGTGAGCTCTGGTGTCCTGGAGTACATTCGGCGCTATACAGAGAGAGACATGTGCATATCCTGCGTGTGTGTGTGACATATACCCCGCGGCTGAACCCAAGCCCACATAGGAGAAGGATATCGCGGGCAACGGTCGAAACACCCCCAAACGAATAGCCGTACCGCATGTTCTTTTCAAGGACCTCCAGGATTCGCTCTTTTTCTGCTTTGAGCTCTTCCAAGACATCCGTAAGTTGCTCAATTTCCTTCTCCTTTTGTAGTCTCGCTTTGATTTCATCCGCTGCCTTTTTCTCCGCCCGTGCACGCTTGGAATCGTTCTCCTGGAGGAATTTACTGAACCGAATGAGCGACTCCTGTAACTCAAGGTCCTTAAGCTTTAAAGCCTCCTCTCTCCGCTTGAAGACTTCCTCCTTCCGGTTGAAATCAAGTTTCTGCGCTTCCAAAGCCTCTTGCACCTCGAACATTTGGCGCCGCTTCTCCAGCAGCCGAGTGGCTGGAGACACATGGTCAAGGACCAATGTTTGCGGAAGCATCCTACAGGAACAAGCTAATAACTTAGCTGACGGTGAACACGCCACCCATTGCTAATAGTTGAGCTTCGCGACCCACTTGGTTCGACCATTTGCACTCCCCTCACTGTCCTCCATGCTGTCTGAATTGTTTAGGAAAACTCCTTATCGCTGAGGGTTGGGTCAGATGTCCATACACCAGCACCGAGAGCCCAAAAAGAAGGACACTAGTTAGACAGAATACTATTGTTTTCTTCAAAGTTATTCATCGAGCCATAAGCTAGGAGCAGAACATCGACAATCCTTATGCTCTACGCTGACCAAATAGATGTTGATCACTCTGCTTCTCTTCTTGACACCTGTTAATTCTCCAAACAGAAACTGTAAATGGCAGTGACAATCACAACCTCCAGACCGCCACAGCTGGAAGTCGTACCCTAGAACGTACTAACGAACCGGTCATTCGGGGCCCACTTTAACAGTGTGCAGTTTTGTGCTTGTGAAATTGACGTGAGTTCGACATGTTGCAATCAATTTTAAGCTAAATCTCATGTGAGCTTGATGCTTATGCTATTTTCGATGCTGCTGCAGTAAAGGACGGTACGCACGCTGTTAGGCCCGGAAAGCGTTGTAACTGAACATTCATCACTTAATGCATGAACTACGTGTTCCTGCGCATGTTATACGCAGTAAGAAGCTTTCAGGTCGAATGCTCGAGTCAAGATGTCGTTGCATGTAACTGAACACCGAACGTCATGCGAATGCAACATGCGCCTGTCAAGCGCCCCAACCCTGCTGATGTCAATGTCATATGAAAGCTTCTGACACTACTGCACAATGGGGTTACTCGCCATAATGTTGGGCGTGGCGTTCGCAAAGTAACCGTGATGTACCGTAGCGTCAGTGTCGCATCGCACGGCAATGCGGAGACACACTTAAAAGCCCATGGATTAGTAAACAATAATTCCAAGTCCGAAGTTGTGACATAAAGTATTTATTTGGACTAGTTGGGCGGGAAGTTTCCCTACGCACATCTGTCAAGACGCAAGTCGTCGCGTTGCCTTGGACACGTGAACACTTACGCCCTCAGCTGGTCATATGTTTACTACTGAAATCCATCCACAGCTATCAACAAGTGCTGTGCCACAACTGGGCTTTGAAGTTGCACATCGACGATGTATGCGCGCTGCTTCTGCCGTCTCTCCCACGCGAGCCTGTCAAATGCGCAGCATCTATTCAGTAACCAGGTCAAGCCGCCAAGTCGCCCGCGCCTTTCACCAGACCTCTGGCGATCATTTCTGCTGCAGGAGCAGCATGCCTTGAACCCACATCCCAACATAGCCGCGCAAGAGCTTCGGGCAATTGCGGCTCCACAAGAAACCAATTACTTCCAGATTTTTAATGATACCCATGATGATGACACGCCTGCGAAGCCGCGGGGCAGCTTCCTAGCGCAGGCTTCAACCGCCTCAATCGGCGTTGCGGAACTAGCCGCCGCCCTTGCGCTCTCAAGCTTCGGCACCATGGTCACGCTGGCGATTGCGGAGCCTCCATGTACCATGTCCCCCACCAGCATGCAATCTCCATCTCGGCTGACTCCTATAACGGTGCGTCTCCCTCTTTCAGTTACATGGCCAGAATCCCAGACCGGCCGCGTTTGACTATTGCTGGTTCTTACGATTGCGTCACTTTATCTTTATCAGCTTTAACATTTTGGATTTCACAATGCCTCTCTGCACTTGCATGCTAAAAAGCCCAAAGGATCTCAAATATTTCCATCGCGCAGCGGGGAGCGCTAAATCTCCCGCCCGGACACACAGCTGTCCTAATAACTCGCGCCAACAGCTGCTTTTCAACCATTGAAATATGGAACCACAACTAACTATGTAACTAACTCGCTCCATACACTGTCTTCCAACCATGATATTATTTCATCCACTGTCTTCCAACCATGACATTATTCCATCCACATGGTCCCCCGGACTGAACACACCCCGACGCATTTCCCCGATCCACAGGTGCTGGACCAGGCGTTGACGGTCCCCACATCTCACAACCAGTCCACCACCGCCACCCCACCGGCTGCTGCCGCCGCCACCGCTGCCGCCTCAGCCACAACAACGACAACGCCCGTTCCGCCAGCTCCATCCCCCTGCCCTGTCGCCATTGAAGGCACACTCTCGGGACTGGCCGCTGCCAAGGCCGCCCCTCTGGCCAGCACCATAGCCGATGAGGCACGGCCTGGTGCGGCCAGCTCGTGCTCTGACCTGCACGACCGTGACCCGCACTTCATGACCGCCCCCGGCACCACACCAGGGATTGCGACGCTCCTTGGCGTAGCTGCCTCGCTAGCATCAGGTCCAAACGCTGCCGCCGCCACCGCCACGGTGGCCGCCACCGCTGCCGCCGCCGCCGTCACCGCCGACTACCTGCCGCTGCCGCTGCGATCACTGGTGCCCACTTCCCTCGCCGACTACTGGCACGGCGTCTCCGACGCGGTGCGCTGCAGCCGCCTCCATGCCACTTTGTACGTCTCCGCCAAGGCCTGGCCCCACATTGCACCCACCATCACTGCGATGCTTGGCGCCGGTGGCAACGGACCCGGGGGTCAGGTACGCTTCGCGCTGGTGCCGCTGGGCGAAGATTACGCCACCCGCGCGGAAGCTGCGCAGCGTGAGGCACAGCTGGGAAGGGGCGGTGATGGGGCCGCTACTGCCCCTGGTGGTGGTGGCGGCGCATACGCAACCGATCTGGCGGTGCAGTACGGACTGGACGTGGCGCTAGCGGCGGCAGCCGCGCCGGACGGCGGCCGCAACGGTGTACGGCGATTGGAGCTGTGTCCCGCGATGGTGATACGGGCCGGCTACACGGGGAGCACCCGTACGGCATACGGGGGGGAGGTGTGTCCCGGATGGAGCATGCGACAGGAGCTGGACGAGCATGTACGGCGCAATCTGCAGCTTGCTGAGCAACGGCAGCAGTACCGCCAGCGTCAGCAGTTGCGAGGTCCGCATTCCTGGCAGCACCGCCGGTTTCTGGGGCAGCAGCCGGAGGAGCCTGAGAGGAAGGAGCAGGCAGTGACTCCGCAATGGGGGGAGCTGCGTGCGGTGGTAGCGGCGGTGGGTCCAGTAGACGTCGGCAATGCTGGACGCCCCATTGCCTGATCAGGCAACCGGGCTCGACGACGTCGTCTGTTGTTGGGATAGCTGCATTAAGGTAGCACCAGAAGCCGAAGTGCGGCTCTCGGAGCGCCATCGCGTGGAGGTGCTGATGGACTGGGAGCTCTTGAGGTGGCTGCCATCGGGTTTCGATGCGCGACTTGCCTGTGCGACATAGCTGTGAAGTTATTCTTTTCCAAAAAGGTTATGCTTTTATCGTAAGCAGGTTTGCGTATTTATGTTGTGAGCCGAACCAATCGTTACAGGCAGCTCGGATGGCAGCGACAGTTACAGTTAGTCATGAATGATGATACGTGGGAATAATTTTTTGTTCGAAATGCACATGCCGCTATTTTCTTTCCTTGTGAGCCTTCTCCATCTCTTCTTTTCAATTGCTATGTTTTCAAAGTTCTTAAGTTTGCGCGATTTAAAGTTTTATGTTTATGCTCTCAGCTTCTCTTTTGTATGGTTGCGACGCTGGGCCGGCATGCTCCTGCATAAAATAAAACGACAGGCGCAAGGCAGAGACAGCCGGTGGACGTCTGGTCGCCTGACTCCGGTTTCCCCCACGCCGCACACACACGCCCCCGGTCATCCTGAGCAAAATAACACAGCGCAAACGACTGGATAGTCCTGCTCGTCGGCTTGCAGCTGAGTGCGCCTGACTCCAGGCCAGTCGGTGCACGCTGTGGATGAGCGCGCTGATCAATTCGGGGGTGGATGTATTAATTTCGGGCGGCACGCCTGCGAAGGCGGTTTCACCTCGCGGCCCATGCAGTGCCGCTCTTTGGTACGCCAAGAGTTGGCGACCTGGCCGTGGCATTTGTGACCGTCTATGCGCCTCTTTAGCTGTGTTACGACTTGAAGCACCTGGCGATGTCACGCGCGTTTGTGCGCCGTATGTGCGAGATCAGAAGAGTGTCGACGTTGCTTTTCCTCGTATTCGACATTATTAATCACGTTGTTGGTTTTGGTTGAAAGGACAGACGGACAGACAGACAGACAGAAGACATAAAGCTCGCATTGCGGCGCACGTCGCTGTGTGTATATGTATGTGTGTATGTATGCGTGTACGTATGTGCATAGGCAAAGGCAATACCTTTGAGAGTTGCAGTGGGGTATGGCCAGACGGGGCAATGCAAAAGGGGGAAGACCATTCGGGAAGCGAGAAGGATGTGCCCTGGCACCTACCTCCCTTTCGAGTATGGGTGTGTGTGTCTCTGGTTACTAGCTGTGCAGTTCGTCCCTTCCCATCTGCCGGATAGTCAATTTGCAATGTGCAATTCGCAATGTGCAATGTGCTGATTGTGAGGGTTCTCTTCCGCCGCCCCAAGAGAGGGGGGCCCCCCAGGCCCCTCCCGAGGCGTTCAGGGGAGTTCAGTACCGCGAGGTGATACAGAGAAGGGGGAGAAACCGCGAAATGTGCCCCGCTGTGTTCCCTGGTATGGGGGCCTGACCTGGAGCTGTCGTAAAAGTTTGTACGGCCGTACATAATTGTACGGCCCGCTGGCTCCCGCGTACGGCCAGCATACGGCCGTTTGGTGAGCCATGTGACATAGTCAGCCTGTTGTTTGTTACGGTGCGGTGCACAATATTTTCTACAACACATTTTCTGTCTGTCTGTATATACATGGAGACACACACACACACACACACACGCACACACACGCAGACAGGCAGGTAGTCAAGTGCCCCGTACCAGGCAAGCTCGGTGCAGATATCGGGTCGATTGTTCTCCTCCCCCATGGGGTGGATCTGCTATCCACCAAATGTTGAACCTGGCCACATACATATATACGTACATACACACATACATACAGACCCTTCCGACTTTGTGCATGCTAAACGGCCAAGTCCACGGCTTCTACTGTAACACCAGGCAAAGAGTACTCAGTTGGGAGATGCCAGGGGAGCTGATCCCTTCTTACATTCCTCCCCCCCTCGAGCGAACGTCCTCGGGCGCCCCCGGGCATATCCCGTACATACAGACACAGCAACGTAAGGAACTGCATAGCTCGGCATGCACGGCTGCGTGTATGCTCGGCGGGGGGGCCGGGGGCACTCCAGGACACAACCCGGTGGGCTTCCTGCCCTCTCGCAATGTTCGCGAGAGCCCAGGGAGAGGAGGACACGACGGAGGAAGACACGCACCCGTCGCATAGTACGGTTGGTCAACATGTCGCCTGATTGAGTGCGCGCATCGTACGGCACCACGGTCTGGTCTCGTCTGTGGCCTCTGCTGTGTTGGTTGACCACAAATATACGGCACCTGTACGACACCATGTCGCGAACCATGTGGCGAAAACGAACCTAAGACCGACTCACTGCTGAGTGGTGTGCGCATGTTTGTTTTCCTCCTTCCCCCCTCCCCCGCATCCACCATCCTTTTCTATTAAAGCCGCCGCGCAACCCCCCCACCCCCCCAATCGAGGACGGTGGGGGAGATTTGTGCGGGTTGGGGGCCACCTAAGATCGTAATGTTGAATGGTGCGCTAAAATATTTGTTGGACTGCATTACCTCTGGGGGGAAGCCCGTGTTGAACTGCTGACTTGGGGGCCAACCCATTTGCTGTTCTGTACGTCTGATTATAACAGCGCGTCGAGGGGCACTAACTCCCTTTCATGTCACCGCCGCAACTACTGACTGAAGGCCGTTTCAACAGTGAGAAATCTCGACCAGTGTGAGACCACACATAGATAGATAAATGCTTCACGCGCGCGTACAACCCAAACGCTGTGTCGTAGGTATGCCGTACCACGGCTAGGACAGCCAACTCCAAACCACCAGGTGAATCAAAACCCCTGCCCAACGGCACTCCGAAGGGGGCAGGCCCGACCCGTTCAGCCCCCAGACCTGTGAAACTGGGAGCCGCCGGGGGGGGGGTATGACAGTCACGACGGCGGGGTGGGCCACCGCGGCACCACCATCCCCCTGCATACGCCACCTGCCCACTTCATGTATGCCAGGCGCCAAACCCGGTATCACAAAAACACAAAACCAAGCCAACCAACAGCTTGCGAACACCAACAGCAGCAACAGCAGACACACACACACACACACCAAGCGTCAACAGCAATTCCAGTAACGAAACAACAACAACAGCAACAACAACAGCAACAACAACAACGCGGAAAAGTCATGCAGTCCGCAACCCGGGCGTGGGGGTTCACACGACCACAAAAGTCTACGCAAGGCCCAACCCAAGGGCAACCCCCAGGACGCACCCGATGCCATGATCCTTTCGCTGACACAGACGACTGCCACATCATACACCCGTCCATAGTCCGTACAACTCGTCAAAGCCCTGTAGGAATTCTCCCGCCGGTTCAGGCACACAGCGGGCACGGCAGGCGCAGCGGCAGGGGGCTGACCCACACAAGGGTCAAACCCTTCCTTTGCTTCATTTCCCACACCACCTCGCACACAGGGGCCCCCTTGCCCTCCCATGCACATGAAACCAGCTGGCTGGTGCCCATGATGCTGGTGGCCGAAAGAGATGTGGCCGTAAGCCTCTGCCGCCGCTGTCGTGTTATGGCGAGCCCTCCAAAGGGGGCCCCCTAGCAACGCCAGCGCCAGCAGCCATATACGTGCAAGTGGGTGGTGTGGCGGGCAGAGGGCCCTCCAGCAGTGCCCTCCAAATGCCACCACACTACAAAATCTGACCCCCGAGCGCACCTAGCAGGTTCAGCAACGACGTGTGCGCCTTCCCCCCCAGGTCCTGGTCCCGAGACTGGTTTTGTTTCCTCTTCACCCCGTTTGCGCCCTGCGGGGCCTCCTGCACACCTGCGAATTCCTTCATCCAATTTGCACCCGCAGCGACAGCCCGCAACCATCCATCGAATGGTGCAATCCAACCCATTTTAGCGAATAACGCTGAAGTGAGGAGATGAGGCGCCAAGGTGCCGATCCGTCAGGCTGTCGAATCACATTACCAGTCCCGTTTCAGTCCGTACGTTCGTCTGTACGTCAGTCAGCTAGCTAAGACGCGGACGCTGCTTGGCCGGGCAAGCCAGACGCGCCACCCCGGCTCCCTGGAGCAACCACCGCAGACTCAGCACCCTCCGCGCCCTCCTCCCGCTGCTGCTCCTGTCCACGTACCGTCCCCCCCTTCCCCCCTTCTTCCCCATCCACCAGATGCTCTTGCTGTCGCTGATGCTGATGCTGTTGTTGTTGCTCCGCTGCCGCTCCTTTCCGGCTCCTGACCAGCCGCCTGTAAGCCGCCAGTGCGGTCGTCTCCAGGTCGTGGTGGTAGGAGGCGTGGTGGTGGTCCAACCAGTGCTACCAGTAGGGCGGGGCAGGGGCGGGGGCCATGAGGGGGGGTGTAGGGGTTTGGGAGGGTGTGAGTTGCAGGCTCGGGAGGTATAGATGGATGTGGGGGAGAGTCCATCCCCAGAACCCCACATGCGACACCTCCCCTGGAGAACTCCCCCACATCCTCTCTGAAGTAGTCCTCGCCACTCTTCAGAAACCCAGATCAGGTGAGGTCTGGAGCCGCCGCCCCGGGTAGCTGCCTACCCCCCTACCTACCCCCCTACCTACCCCCCTACCTACCCCCCTACCCCCCTGCCCACCTACCTGGAGCGAGCGCACGGGTGCAGCCACGGCCTCATCCAGCGCCATTTGCAGCAGGGACTCCGCCTCAGCCTCCGATACGGGCACCACCTCGCACCCCCCTGCCGCCGCAACAACCCCCAACACGGACATGGACATGAAGCGCAGTGGGGAGCGGTTGCGAGCTAACCGCGTTTCCAGGGGACTACTGGAGGGGAGGGGAGGGGGTTCCGCCTCCGGCCGTGGGGTTTGCGTGCCGTACCTCAACCGACCCATGTACGACGCGGTTGCCTTTCGGACCCTGGATAAACCAATCACATTACCCCTCTTGTGCGCCCTTCCAAACTACAAATGTCACGAAGAACAGTGAGACACGTTTACACCCTACTATCTTAAAACAATCAGCCAGCTAGCCAGCCCGGCGCCCGGCAGAGCAAAGTCGAGTCTACGTCGCACCTTGCGCCGACCACCGCAGCAGCAGCAGTTCCCCGACCGTCTCGTACAGGAACCGGCCGCTGCTCAGCGCCGCCCCCTCCCCCAGCAACGCCCCCCGCAGCGCTAGCAGCGCAGAGAGCCCCGGCACCGCCCGCCGTGCGGCCGCGAAGTACGGGTCGGCGGTCAGCAGGGCTCGCGGCACCGGGTCGTGCTCCAAAACCCAGTTGACCACGGCGGCGGGGGGGGCGTGCAGCAGGCGCAGCACGCGCGCGCCGCCGCCGCCGTCAGCGTGGGCGAGCACGGGCGGCGAGCCGAAGGTGTGACACGAGGTGGTCTCCGGGGACCTGCGAGCACGCGTGTGTGTCTATGTGTGTATGTATGTATGTGTGCGTGTGCGTGTGTGTGTGTGTGTGTGTGTCGCAGTGGGTAGGTGAGGGCAGTGTGAGCCGTACCTGGTATGTGATCCGCCCCCCAGGGGCCCTACATTAGAGCCTCCTCCCCCAAAAAACACCCTCCTCTCCTGTTCACTTCTCCCACTCTCCTTCCTCCGCCCCCCTTCCCCGGCCTCTACCCTCTAATCCCCCACCCATCATCACCAGCACCACAACCACCGAGCGACAGCGGCCGACGCCCCTGTCCAGGTCATCCCATCCGCACTCGCAGCAGGTCGGTACTTTCCAACGGCAATGCCCAATCCCACAAAGACCACCTGTGTGTGTCACCCGTGTTTCTCTCCTCCAACCCCGCAGCCACCCGCCCCGCCAGCTCCCCAGCCCCACCTGCAGCCGGTCATTATGGACATGGCCCATATCATCTGAGCAAGGGAGCCCCCCAGGGAGTGACCCGCGAACACCAGGTGGTCCGCACCACCGCCACCACCGCCACCGCCACCGCCGCCGCCGCCACCACCGCCGCCACCACCGCCAGCTGCAGCTGTGGCATCCCTGAAGTGGGGCACGGCAGGAGGAAGTGGTGTGGGGGTAAAGAAACGAAAGGGCAGTGGGGGCAGGGCAGTGGGGGCAGGGCAGAGCACAGGACAGACGCCAGCACGGTGAAAGGCGCGGGGGGAGGGGGCGGAATTGAGGAGCGGGGTGAGGCGGGTGTACGGTACATGCAGAAAGAAACGAAACCCCAATCCGGCGGCACGTCCGGACTTCCCTTCCCCTGCACTCCCTCGACTTACCCTCCACGCAGAGCCCTGCCACCCCCCCAACCCAACCCCCCAACACCTTATGTACGGCAGCAGTACGGGCAGCAGCTCCCTGGCTAGGGCCGCCACCCCGCGGTGGGCCACCAGCTTATCCCAGTGGTCCCCCAGTGGGGGGGAGATGGCGGGGGGGGAGGGAGGACTGCTGCTGCTGCTGCCGCTGCCTGAACTGGAGGCGAGCACTGCCGCTGCCGGTGGTGGTGCTGGAGTAGGTGCTCCGCCACCGCTTCCCCCTCCGCCACCGCTTCCCCCTCCGCCACCGGGAAATCCCGCTACTACGCCCCCCACTGCTACCGGGTCCGCAGCAGGGAGCAGTGGCGAGGGCCAGAATGTCGCCAGGGAGGCCGATAGGGACAGCTGGGCGCGTGGGGGGTGGGGGGGGGCAGCAGCAGGCACAAGCGCAATAGCAGTAGCAGTAGCAGCAGCAGTAGCAGCAACGACCACAATGAA